TAGGGCCCCATCTCCAAACACTCTGGGGCTTAGGGCTTCAGGATGTGAATTATGGGGGGTGTCAGTCCGTAACAGCTCTGAATAATTACTTATTAACAGTTGATTCAGTACTGTATTGTCAGATAAATACTTGCTATGCAGATATTCTGTATTGCCAGTTTAGGACAGAGCCATATGTTTGGGTAAAATGACATCATCGTACAAGAGGAAACACCTAACAAGACCACATGCTGCAGAGACGACACGCCGGCTCAGCAGAGACAGCCTCGTGAAGAGCCTGAGCGCAGAGCCAGGATGCTTTTCCAGAAGCAGTTTGGGGCCTGCTCTGATGCAAAGATAATTGGATAATCAAGTGCCCAAATGTTGTGCCCAATTGTAGAGCAAAGTTGAAAAAAATTAGCCTAGAAAAATGCTTAAATTATGCATAGCTAAATGCCCATTTCAGTCACAGAATAATCTTTGTAAAGGAGACACAAGTCATTTATCTTAGATATAAGAAACAGAGAATGTTTATCTTTAGTTTTATGTAGTAAATATTATTCAATAACAACAGAGAAAGTAACATACAACATCTGTCTCAGTGAAGCAGATACACAGTATTTATCTCTAAGCAGTGTGACTTCCTACCTCTGAGAAAAACTTGCCATGAACCTCTGGGAGGAAACAGGGAGTTTGTGTTGTTGGGCTTCTATTAGAAGCCTGTGAAATGCGTTCAGATGCTTTCATTTGGGTGCAGTTACTCTCTTTAGGAAGAAAGCGGTAACAGGGCACATAATTTAGTAAACCTGTTCCCCAGTTTCTAAAATGAAATTCAGCTTTTTCCCTTGACCGTGCACCTCTTTCTCTTCTCTGTGGCTGGTCACACATCTCATGTATGCTTTCATGCCGTGGACTTACAGGTCAGGTAGAAGTTAGCAGGTGGAAGTGTCTGGGAATAGTCACCTGGTCCACAAAGACACCTTGAACCTACCTGATTTTTATGGCAGAATTAAGACAAAATGATGAAATAATGAGATGATGTTACTTATGATACCCTCAAATATTCTCTTACTTTTCAACCTATGTGAAAATCATTCTAGTAACACTCATATTTTGTCTAAAAAGTGTTTCCTTTTATTTGTCTTTAACACCCAGCTAATTACCAAAAGAATTTAAAATTATCCTGAAACCTAAACACAAGGTAGCAAAATATTTAAACACTGTACTAGCTAACAGTGCCACACATACTAAAAATGATTTTGTGTTTGAGAGGTCATTGTGTTTCCAGTGAGATGGTATTTTTGGTATAAATTAAATTTCTAATTTTGTTAGCATTTTATGGCAGATGTTATGGATTGGCCATGCAAATACCACTTAAAAAAAAAGACATTTCCCTCTGTCTTCCTGCACTCTAGAGTCTGGGATACACTATACTACATTTCCAGAATCTTTCAGTGGAAGGCTGGAAGGCTTCCTCCAGCCTTGAGATCTAGCAGCCACTTGGCACCTTGAGACTAAAACTCTTTAAGATGTTAGCCAGGATGTCCAGGGCCATGGAAAGTAAAAGTGGAAGTCAGGGTTCTTGCTGACCTGACCTTACCTGCCTGTCTAGCACTTTGTGCCTCCATCCTTGTTACATGGAAAATAAAATATTCATTTAAGCCAGTGGCATTGAGATTTTTTCTGTAATAGCAACCAAATGCAATCCTGATATTGGTATAAAACAAAATTCACAATATTTAGTGACACTTTTACTGTGACCTGTGCAAATGAGTAGTATCTAAGATTACTTAGCTCTGTTTGTAGTAGTATAAAGTATGGGTAGATTTATTGCACATATGGAGTCGTTTCCATGTGATTATTTTTCAATAGGCGTATGTAATAAATCTGCTTTGGTATCTCTCTCTATGCATAAATCTTTGCTTTAATCCAAATTAAGGACCATTATTGGGAAACTACTCCGATTTCCCCATCAACAGCCCATGTCTTATGTGTTTATTTATAGAACATCTATTTGCAGAGGTTAGTGAGGGCTATAAATCAGTCATTTTTTTAGGATATCTGTCTGTCTGCATTCCAGGACTTTGGTGGTCTAGCAGAAAATGAGCTAGTTGGGAGGGAATAGGGGTAAATTCTTGATGTTTGTTGTTCAAGCCCTTGTGGTTCATCAAAAGCAACCTCACTGGGTGGGCACTGCAGCTGGGTGGGGTCCTCACGGTGAGCACCATAGCCTCTCGCCCCCTCTCCCCCAGCCTGGGAATGCCTCACGTGCTGAGTTCGGTGCTGGTTCTTCCACCTCAACTAAGCATTATTTTCACAGGGCCCTGAAGGGTGTGTTGGGAAACCCTAAGAAGTTTCGAGCCTAGAATCTCTCAGAGTTCTGATGTGTAGGTGAGGTCTGGAGCCCCTGGTTTGGGCAGTCAGAGGGCAGAGCCCACAGCCAAATCGGCGTCTGTTAACTACGTGGGAATTGCCAATGCTGCATTCTTTTAAATGGCAATAATTAATCTGTCAATCTCAAAGCTTCTGATTAATGGGAAAATAATACCAAGTCATCTTAAAAATTTTCAGGTATTACATTCTGTTATGGTATTATGTGGCTGAATGATGTAAGGACCAGCCTTAACTGAGGTTCTAAATTTGAAGGGCATTTTCCTTTCCTCTCTTGTTTCGTGCAGAAATCAGGAGGCCAGCAATGCTGAGTGCTGGCTAGGACGGAAATTATCACTGAAAAGAGGTAGATAAGTAGACTGAGTCCTGAGCAGAAGGTCCCACTGACCCCTAGGGAGGCAGCAGCTGCTGGCCTTGGCTTGCTTTGAGGCCAGCCTCTCCGCTGGGCGCTGCCCTGACTGCGAGGCTCTGGACCCAGGCCAGCTGCTGTGGGGGCATTTCTTTCACCTGACCTGCAGGATAAGCACTGTGGACACAAAATCTGTAAGAGCTTAGAGTACAGCTTCCCTCTGGCTGTTCATTTTATTTTAAGGACATTCGACGCTTAGCATCCACTTCAGCATGTCTCCCCCATGACAGATGCCTCACCAAGAGCGCTGTGACTGTCCGTCAGTGTATTCAAACTGCCAACCTAGAGGCTTCTTGAACACAATTATTCTTGTTCCTAGTACCTGGGCACATAAGACGGCTGCACAGATCATTTTGGAAGAGGATCAAAGAGGATGATAAACCCAGGCTTCCGTGGATATTAGCTAGAGACCTGCGACTGGAACCAGGGTCTCACTCTGACTCTCTTTCCTCTAAAACATGGTCCCACCAAGCATTCATAGATGGGCCGATGGAAGTCAACATCTCCGTGTAATTTAGGATTGGCGTTCTTGGCCGCAAAGAAGCTGAAAGCACTAGTGCCAATAACAAAGTCAAGCTTCATTCTGTGGTGGCGTTAGGGGTCTTCCTCCGGCCGTTATTACGGCATGATGTTGCGCAGTCTGCTTTTATAGCTGTTAGAACACATGTATGATGACACATGCTGAAGGACTCACTGTCCTGGTCCTTGACCGCTGGGCCTGCAGGTCAGCTCCTGCCCACCGCTCCCAGAGTGCTCTCCGCCCACACACGCACCCCTGCTGCGAGCCTGACCCCAGAGACCTTCCCGGCTGCCCACCCGGAGCAGCACCTCCCACCTCTTTCTTTCCACTCACCCTGCTCTCTCTTTCTTCAGGCTTGTCACTGGCATGTTTTTATTATCTGTTTACTTTTGCTGACTTCCCTAAACTCCAGGCTCCGCCGGATCAGGGACTTGGTGTATTTGCTTGTTTTTTTCAACCTTATGGCTAGAATGGTTGTTGGTGCCCAAAAACATGTGCTATAGATTTACAAATTAGACGATGGCTAGTAATTCTTGCTTTGTGGGTGCGGGGGGAGTCAGCAGCCTCTGTCATGGCTAAAAAGTAGGTATCTAAACTTGGTAGTTCCTTTAAATTACAAAATAATACTAAGGATTGTTTTACTCTAGCCACTGTTTTTAGTACCAAGAAGTACAGAGAAATATATAGCTTAGTCATCATTCTGGAAAATCTTACAGCACAGTGGGGTAGAAAGACAGATTCACAACTGAAAGCAGTACAGACTGGATTAATTTCGGATTCCTTCTAAAATCTCTACAAACTTGTAAGTCCTAGATTAGCGAGCAGAACAAAAACAGTAATAATCTGGACTATGGGAATTTGAAGAGCATTCAGCAAGGAGGGAGAACATACAAGGGAGAGAAGTGGCATCTTAGATGGAGGCTAGAGTGAAGGGAGGCAGAGTCGGACAGCGTGAGAGGCCTGGGGGCTCACCCGCCCCCGGCTGGGATGGGGGTCTCGACAGAGTGGCAGAAGCTGCACTGGAAGGCGCAGGGCATTTGGAAAACACCCACTGTGAGCCGGAGGGAGGGGGGCTGCCCCTCCGGACTCAGCTGTCAGCCTCACTGTTTTGATTCACAAAATCAACTGATGCTGATGTGCCAGTAAAAAACATAGAATATAAATGCTCAGGTCCATTAAAATGAGAAATCACAAATCCAGTTACTAATATATAAACACTTACAGGCATAGTATACAATATGGAATAGAAATACAGAGTATTAAAGGTAAATGGTAAATATATATCAGTGTAGTAGAAATGTTTTTGACCAATTAAAATATTCAAAAATTCATGCTTCATAAAATTCAGAAAAATTAATATGAAAATTTGGAAATGAAGTATTTAGTACTCTTAAAGGCCATCCTCAAAGAAAAACACAATAGAAACATCCGAGTCCCCTGTAGACACTGTGCACACATTCCCAACGGCCAGAAGCGAAGGTGTCAGTTCTCCATGGGACCTTCAGTGTCCCTCAGAGACGATGACCCCTATACCTTCCACTCAAGTTTAAGTCCCGCTTTTTTCTGCCTTTGTATTTAGACTTTAGTTGGATTGAGGATCCTTTTGAAAACAATGCTCAGCTGTGCAAAAATACAGCATGTGCTCACTTTCTACCTTGTTCCACTGTGTGTTCCTAACGCACCTCTGCTTCACATTGTCAGAGATTGCGAAGGGAGGCTGTGGGGACCCGGGCATCCCTGCCTACGGGCGGCGGACTGGCGACCGCTTTCTCCACGGGGACACGCTCACTTTCGAGTGCCAGGCAGCCTTCGAGCTGGTTGGCGAGAGAGTCATCACGTGCCAGCAGAACAACCAGTGGTCCGGCAACAAGCCCAGCTGCGTGTGTGAGTACCCGCTTGACTCCCCGAGCCCCAGGGGCCTCGCACGGTGCAGGGCTCCACGGCCACATGAGTAAGCGCGACCTTCTCTGTGACTGCGTGGGGCCAAGGCTGGGAAGGGACACGAAGTGATATGGGTGAGAAGCAAGCCAGTCTGCAGTAAGTCCACCAGTGTCCTTTCCAAAGAAGAGTACGTACACAGTCTTGTACAGAGTAACTGTATGTTCATACATAGTATACATGTATTTATAGCTGATTTTTAGGTACACATTCTTAAAAGTAAAATGTCCAAGAGATTTTTATATTACTCGCCCAGATCCTGGCTGGGTTTTTGAGTTATTATTTGTTCATTGTTCCCCTGTAACTAATAAAAAACACAAACCTTGAAAAAGATTCACTTTAAAAGCAAACATGACACACGAAATGAAAGTGATCATAAAAGGTAGAACAGAACCAGAATTATTTTCTGGAAATGTCTCCTATGACATAGATATACCTTCTCTTATTAATATTTGCTCTTTTGAAGTGAAAAAGTTATAACTAGAAATTGTAACATTTACCCCAAGTTTCAGCCAACTTGATAGGATCATGTTTTAGTCCAGTTGAGAAGGAGTTTCAAACCCTCACTCCTGGCAGGTACGGTCACCCACCAGATTCTAGCAGTTGCTGTCAGGTAGCCAGGCCTCTAGAAATGTTCAGCACTGTCTGAAGTCTATTTGTGTTTCCAGTTTCCTGCTTCTTCAACTTCACTGCGTCATCAGGAATCATCCTTTCCCCCAATTATCCGGAGGAATATGGGAACAACATGAACTGTGTGTGGCTGATCATCTCCGAGCCGGGCAGCAGAATTCACCTCATCTTCAACGATTTTGACGTGGAGCCTCAGTTTGACTTCCTTGCAGTCAAAGATGATGGGGCTTCTGATCTAATTGTCCTGGGCACCTTCTCTGGCCATGAGGTGCCCTCCCAGCTGGCCAGCAGCGGGCACGTGGTTCGCCTGGAATTTCAGTCGGATCACTCCACTACTGGCCGAGGCTTCAACATCACCTACAGCAGTAAGCGCGCCCGCCCCGGGACCACCCCACCCCTACATACACGTGTGGGCAGGGGACTGTCAGGGCTGGTACTTGTGAGGTTTGATAGCCTTGATCAACAGAATGAGAGTAGCAAAATGGAACGTCGTGATCCTGCTGTAACCTAGAGCATACATGACTCTGTTCAGGTTTCTGTCGCAGTCGCCCTGCAGTGAAGACTGGATCTCACGTGTTTTTCTCTCTCTCTGGTTCCCCTCCCTCCCTCCTTCCTTTCTTCCCCCTTCCTTCCATCCCCTCAGGCATCCTCAATGCCACACAACAGTGTAGTGAGAAGGATCAAGGCATTTGATGTCAGGAATCAGTGAATCGGGATGAGACAGCTAACTTTTTTGTGCCTCAAGTTCCTTGTTTGCAAAACAGATTATATTTAAGAACATGCACTTAAATGCATTGTTGAAGTAATAAAGTAAGGTAGTGATGTTAATTGTGAGTTACAAGTTAAAATTTACTGACTGCCTCTTCTCTCAGGCACTGTGCTTAGGAGTTGCCAATAATTATTTCATTTAACATTATAGTAACTCTGGGATATATGAAATAAAGACAGCTCTGCTCAGATCACCAGCGTGTTCTGCCCAAGGGCCGACAGGGAGCACTGGAGCCAGGGTTCTGAGCTGGATGTGCCTGACCCGAAACCTTGCCCCCCACCAGTGTGCCTCTTTGTTTTTCTCAGTGTCATGAAAAGTGCCGAAAGCTGTTTGGTTGTATCTGTGTATCCACCTGTCCTCTTTTGCTGGCTCTGTCTCACTGGGGACCAATATCTTGTTTGTTTATCTATTTATATGAATATATAACTGGAATTTAGGACAGTAAATGGCTTTATAAGCAGGTTCTGCTAACTTCATTTTTAATACACATAATTAATATTTGAGTATTTTTATTCTAATTACTCCTTTCTTCTTTCCTTTTCAGCGTTTGGTCAGAATGAGTGCCACGACCCTGGCATTCCCATAAATGGGCGGCGTTTTGGTGACAGGTTTCTTCTTGGGAGTTCAGTCTCTTTCCACTGTGATGATGGCTTTGTCAAAACCCAGGGGTCAGAGGCTATCACGTGCATCCTGCAGGACGGGAACGTCGTGTGGAGCTCCACCGTCCCCCGCTGCGAAGGTTGGTCCGCCCTCACCTGCCGCTTACTGTCCTTTGAAATGGTGAATCCGACTTGAACAACAAGCAGCCGTATTGGTTTCCTAGAGCTGCAGGGACTTAGCCCTCAGGCATTGGGTGTCTCCCAGGCTGGTTCCCCAGAGGGAGAGAGGGTGCTCCTGTTCAGGCCTCACTCTCACTCTTATTACCCAACGTGAGGATGGCTCTGTGCCCAAATGTCCCCTCTTCCTGAGGACACCTGTCGTCGTGGACCAGAGCTGCTCTGATGACCTCGTCTGAGATAATTACACACGCAGTGACGCTGTTTCCAGGTAAAGCCACACTGTGAGATGCTGAGGTCAACAATCCAAAATATGAATTCTGGGGCACATAAGTCAACCCAGAACAACAACATGGTTCTAGTTAACTCATCTGTCACCCTGAATGTAGCTTGTATAAACACTGTCTCACAGATTTTCTTCTTAACATTTCCACTTTGGTTGCCTAGGTAAGAAAAGCAGAGGGTTAAGATATATTAAGGAGGGTATTAGCTCTCATGTTTATCAGGTGAAAAATATTAACCTGGAATATTTCACACATTCATATCCTCCCTATGAGAATGGTCTGTGCATAATGAGCTAAGAAAACCTTTTTAATAAAAGTTATCTCCAGTAAATACCAAAGCAATACAGATTTTTTTAAAGGAAGTAGACATTTTTTAGAGCAGTCTCAGATTGACATTAAAATTGTTGGAAGATACAGATTTTCCCACATACACCCTGTCCCCAAAATACACAGCCTGCCCTATTATTGGCACCCAGACCAGGTGGTGCGCTTGTTGCAGTGATGAACCTACAAAGACACGTCGACCTCAGCAGAGCCCGCTGCCTGTGTCAGGGTCCCTCGGTGCTGCACGTCCTGTGGGTCCACACAGATGTGTAGTGACGTGTGTCCCCCATCAGCGTCATACACAGCAGCTCACTGCCCTGAAGCCCTCTGGGCCCCACTGTTCATCCCTCCTCCCCGTGTCCTCCGCAACCACTGATCTTTCTACTCTTTCCATAGTTTTGCCTTTTCCAGAATGTTGCCCAGTTGAAATCATACGATGCTTTTAGCCTTTTCAAATTGTCAAGAAATGCAAATTTTAAAACAAAGGTAAAATTTTTGTCTAAAAGATGGGTGAAATTTTTAATACATTGGTAAGATAAAATATGGGTAAGATTGTGGAATAACTGGCATTTTTCTGGCCATGCTACTGAGGATATATAAATTTTTTCTTACTTTTTGAGTCATAAAGTATATTTTTTGATCAATATTAGGAGGACATATTCAAGCAAAATCTATGAAAAACATCTATGAACAGACGTTTTTTCAAGAATGTTCTTTGCAGTATTAAATATAATAGCAGAAGTGGGAAACTTGTAAGTTTCAAACAACAGAGCATTGGTGAGATAAATCATGACACATCTGCACACCAGGATCACATGTGTCATTAGCAAAGATGCTCATTAGATGTCACCATGTGGAAGACTGATGATATAAGCACGTGTGTTGTACCAGCCATTTTGGAAAAATTAAATACATCAATATCTCATGATAACAGCAATAAAAAACTGAAAACTGAAAAGAAGGGTACACACCAAAATGTTCATTGCAGTTATGAGAGAAGTTTCCACTCTTCATTTACTTTTATTTTCTCAGTTGCCTTTGGTCACTGGGTATTTCTTTTATAATAAGTAAATAGAAAAGCAGTACATGTCATATAACATCCGGAGTTGAGGGTTACTGTTCCCCCTGGAATGACAGGCCTAAGGTCACCAGGCAGGCAGCCTAAGCAGACCCAGAACGAATGTGCAGGGGAGGCCCTGGCTAGTGGGCCAGCAGTGTGGTGCACCGAGGTCACGCCTTACTGCCCAGCCTGCCCTCAGCCCTGCTTCTAAGCCACGTGTCATTATTTTAAGTCAGTATTGGCTGACTCTGCTAAAATTACAGAAAGATGTTTTCATTTCTACACTTCTACAAATTGTTGAAACAATCTGGTGGCCAGTGAGCACCACATGGGGGCCAGAATTTGATAAATGGAAGGGCAAGAAAACAATAGTAGGATTTTTATTTTTATCCATATTATAAATGATAAATGTATGGTTTTAATAGTTTACATTTGTCAAATGTAGTACTGATTAACAGATAGGTCATTATCCTTCATAAATAAGTAAACATACACTCCTTCGGTTCTCAAGAAAATGATAATTGTGGTGCACAATGGAACGTGCTCACGCTGCTCCAGCCACGCACATCACTATTGGCTTGGAAGCATGAGTGATCCACGAAGAAGCGTCAGACAGACAGCCTCCAGCCTCTGCCCCTTTGGCCACAGGTCTCACTGTCACACATGGCTCACCTGTAACGGGCTGTGTGCAGGTGCCTGGTAAGGGGTGGGGCAAGTGTGTTCCTCTGCACAGGCAGGGAGGGAAGGGGGCACTAGTAAGTTGCCAGTGATGGTTCATATAAAGTCAAACAAAAAGGAAAAATATCACATTAAATGTGAGTGGAGAATTCTCATTATTGGGAAGAGACCTTCAGATGCAGTTCAGTGCAAAACCCAGCTATGGCTTGTTATCAAAAAAAAAAAACAAAAAAAAACCTAACACAAAAGACTAGTTAACAGCAAGAGATTTTTAAAATGTGTTTGTATGAGAAACCCAGGTACTGAGCAAAGGAGAACCTGAGAGCGTGTGTGTAGATTCTCTGATAATATAACTTGATATGTCAGTCAATGCCCCTGCTGAAGAAACTGAAATCCTAGTTTCAGAAAAAAATGGATCTAGGTGGAAAGAGCCAAATGCCAGTCAAGGATTGAGTGATCCAAGCCACCAATTTTACTCAAGAAACACCTAAGGAACCTCACATTCCTTAGAGAAAACACATGCTTATTGTTTTTCCCAAGGGTTACTTTTATAATCACTTATATAATTGGTCATAAGATGAATATTAACAAATTAAAATAATTCTAGGCCAAATGCACAGATTGTATTCCAATTAAAGTGTAAGTTATAAAATAGTAGAGCCACAGGCAAATATCTAGAAATTCACAAGCCTGCCCTCAGGGACTATATTAAAGAGGAACTGAAACCTGTATCATGTGCTGTCTGGGAGCCTTGTGAAGGGAAACCTGTTCTACTCAAAATAACATGAAATAGCAAAGCTTGTGCTGCACAGCAAACGCCTCTCATGTTGAGCAAGACGACCAGAAGCAAAGGAACTTATTACTAATGTTTACAATTTAGAAAAAAACAAAACAATATTATATTAAGCAAAATCAAATGTTAGAAACTATTATGCAATACAAGAGTGAGTCCCTTGTTAATATCAATAAAACAGACAAACCCTCTGTGATTTTGCTAAGGAGTAAAGGAAATTATAGGTATTTAGCCACATAAAATAGAAATAGTCATGCTACAAAAATTAATTTAACAAAATAATAAGTTATTATTACCAATAATAACATTGCATACAGAGTTAAAGCTTACAATAAAGCAATTTTTTTGGAAAATGTGTTTACTGATTCTGGCAGTATTCGCTGGATGGCAGCACGTGGACATACTGCATGGCCCTCAGACAGAAGACCTCTCTCTGTGGGTGTGCTCCGCCTCTAGCCTGCCTGTACTCTCCTGCACGTCTCAGTGACAGTAAAAGCACAAGTGATTTTGGAGGAAAAGAACTGTACAAGAATACTTCACCAATGCTTTGGCAATGAATTTTAAAGTTGAAAGGAAATCAGTGATTTCTTAGTAAAATATGGTCACCTAAAATGACCCACCTAAAAAGTGCAAAATGTACATATACAAAGTACCATGGAAAGAGATTCAAGAAAAGATTACAGATTGAGCATTGAAATGCTGAACACTGACAAAGACAGAGGTATACCACACAGGTGCACAATTAACTTGTCTTTCAGGTCCAGAGACTGGGAAACCATAGCAGACAGTGGGAAGGTGCACCAGGGTGTCTGCACAGCCAGGATTTTAATGGAACACGTCCCAGCCAGATGATTACATTAGAGTGACATCGAGACAGGCTTATTTTAAGAATACAATACTGAGTAATTTCAGTGCAGATAGTCAGCAAATCATGGGAAAATGTGCATCCTAAAGGCCTTCTCACATATGTGCCTTTCCTCCCCTGTACGACTGTGAACACCACTGGGGCTGGTCTGAGATGCTCTGTGTCTCCACCAGTCAGGACTTCTATCCCTTGTCCCCTGTGGTTTGGTGAAACCTTGTGGTGGGTTCTGGCCAATAAGGTGAACAGGGAAGGGATGTACTCAGCTGGCCCAGAGCCTTTCACCACCAGGACTGGACCTTTGTCCACGGGCCACAGCCGCCTGATGGAGCTGTGGGGTGGGCCCTGGAAATGTAGGCCATGTGAGAGAACCCTGTCTTAACCATAGCTACGAAAACCATAGCAGAGCCTAATCCAGGTTGAAGCCACCATTTAATGTGCTGGTATGTAATTCCGCTGATCTACTATACGAAGACTAAAACGTCTATTTCATCAGGATAAAGTAATGCAAGTTCTGAAGTGCACTGTAAATTATAAAGTGGTATGGAAAAGGTGAGATACTAATAAAAGAATAGTAATGTGTGACAATTCAGGCACATTTCAAGAAATATGACAACTTAGAATTTAAAAAGAGCTTCCAAAAATTGAAACATTTTCTAAATATGTGGGAATTGAGGCTTATATGAAATAATTCATCACGGACATTTAAAAATGTCTCAATCATACTTTTAAAAAAACTATTTGCTGTATGTCTTTCTTTTATAGTATCTTTGGATAAACGTGGAATCAGCAAAATCAGTATGTCTAATTTGACTTATGCTATATCATAAAATGAATTTACTCAAAACACAGGAATTAAATTCTTTATAATACTGATCTATATGACTGTAAAATTACAGTATGAGTTTAAAGACTTAACAAAAATAAAAATACTGGTAATAATTAGTAAAAACAGGTTTTTTTTAAATTGATGATCACATAAAGTAAAGAAAAGTTTTCTTCTAGAACTCAGTTCATAAAAGTGGCTCTAATTTCTTATTTTGTAAGTGTAAACATAATACTCACTGCAGTTTATCTAGAAATGAAACCCTTATCAGGAAAAACATCTACACAGGAATCACCAATGCTGCCAACCATTAACATTTTTGAATTTCCATCTCTTTTCTTTGAATGTTTTTCTTTGAATTCTTTGAATTTAGATTATACATTATGTACAATTTTGTATCCTGCTTTACAAAATATAATATTGCAAAGATGTTCTAATATTAGCAAAATTTCAAAACACTACTTCAAATGTATTTGTGACATTGCAGTCAATGCAGTCTTGGTGTTTTCATAATTTTTTACTATGGCTATTTCCATAGATTTCCCTATTAGGTTTTATTTTTCTAGTCTCAAAACCTGGGTACAATTTTTAATTTTTTGCAGCATTTTAAGGTATATTGCAATTTTTCTACATAAGGAATATTTTTCCAAAAAGGATTTTTTTTTAACTAGGAAGATTTCCCTAAGTTTGATATCTATAGATTCACAAATATGATGACAGATATGACAAATAAGTGAGAAAAAATAAATCAGGAAAAAAATGTGGATTGGCAGGAACATGTTACAATTTAACAATTCCTGCAGACTATACAGAAATGTATACTCACCTTTCCTGAGCACCAGGCACATGCCTGACCTTCATGCCCTTCTTTTTTTTCCTCAGGTAAATAGATTTAAAAAAATTTTTTTTATTAAAGCATTATTGATATACCATCTTATGTTAGTTTCAAATATACAACACCGTGGTTCAACATTTACCCATATTGTCAAGTCGTCACCCACTGTAGTATGGTCACTGTCCATCAACATAGTAAGATGTTATAGAGTCATTAATTGTATTCTCTGTGCTGTACTACCATCTCTGTGACCAACCTATATTGTGATTGTGTATTATTGTGCCCCTTTATCCCCTTCTCCCTCCCCTCTCACCATGTCCTACCAGTGCCCTTTGGTAACCACTAGTCCCTTCTTGGTTTCTGTGAATCAACTGCTATTTTGTTCCTGCAGTTTTGCTTTGTTTTTATACTCCACAAATAACAGAAATCATTTGGTTATTTGTCTTTCTCTGCCTGGCTTATTTCACTGAACATAATACCCTGTAGCTCCATCCATGTTGTTGCAAATAGTAAGATTTCTTTTATTTTTATGGCTCAGTAATATTCCATTGTATATATGTACCCATCTTCTTTATCTATTCATCTACTGATGAACACTTAGGTTGCTTCCATATCTTGGCTATTGTAAATAGTGCTACGATAAACAGAGGGGTGCATATGCCTTTTTGAATTAGGGATCTTGTTTTCTTTGGGTAAATTCCTAGGAGTGGAATTACTGGGTCAAATGGTATTTCTATTTTTAGTTTTTTGAGGAACCTCTATAATGCCTTCCACAACAGTTGCACCAATTTACATTCCCACCGACAGTGTAGGAGGGTTCCCCTTTCTCCACATCCTTGCCAGCATTTGTTATTTCTTGTCTTTTGGATATTGGCCATCCTGACTGGTATGAGGTGTTATCTCATTGTGGTTTTAATTTGCATTTCCCTGATAATTAGCAATGTGGAACATCTTTTCATGTGCCTGTTGGCCATCTGAATTTCTTCTTTGGACAAGTGTCTGTTCAGATCCTCTGCCCATTTTTTAATCAGGTTATTTGCTTTTTGGTTGTTGAGGCATGTGAATTCTTTATATATTTTGGGTGTTAACCCCTTAGCAGATAAGTTATTTACAAATATATTCTCCCATACTATAGGATGCCTTTTTGTTCTGCTGATGGTGTCTTTTGCTGTACAGAAACTTTTTAGCATGATGTAGTCCCATTTGTTTATTTTTGCTGTTGTTTCCCTTACCTGACAAGATGCATTCAGAAAGAAGTTGCTTATGTTTATATTCAGCAGATTTTTGCCTATGTTTTCTTCTAAGAGTTTTATGGTTTCATGACTTACATTCAGGTCTTTGATCCATTTCAAGTTTACTTTTGTGTATGGACAATAATCCAGTTAGACAGCAATCCAGTTTCATTATCTTACATGTAGCTGTCCAGTTTTGCCAACACCAATTGTTAAAGAGGCTGTCATTTCCCCACTGTATATGCATGGCTCCTTTATCATATATTAATATCCCAGATATGTGTGGGTTTATATCTAGGCTCTCTATTCTGTTCCGTTGATCTATGGGTCTGTTCTTGTGCCAGTACCAAATTGTTTTGATTACTGTGGCTTTGTAGTAGAGCTTAAAGTCAGGGAGCATAATCCATATGAATTTTAGAACTATTTGCTCTAGTTCATTGAAGAATGCTGTTGGTATTTTGATAGTGATTATACTAAATCTGTAGATTGCTTTAGGCAGGATGCCATTTTGACAATATTAATTCTTCCTATCCATGAGCACAGGATATATTTGTATTTATTGGTGTCTTCTGTAATTTCTCCCATGAATGAGTGTCTTGTAGTTTTCAGGGTATAGGTATTTCATCTCCTTGGTTAGGTTTATTCCTAGGTATTTTATTCTTTTTGATGCAATTGTAAATGGAGTTGTTTCCTGATTTGTACTTCTGATCATTTGTTGTTCGTATATAGGCATGTGACAATTTCTGTGTATTAATTTTGTATCCTGCAACTTTGCTGAACTCAGTTTTAGTTCTAATTTGTTTTTTGGTTGAATCTTTAGGGTTTTCTGTGTATAATATCATGTCATCTGCAAACAGTGACAAACTGTCTTCATTGTAATCATAGATCAGTGTTGGTCATACAGCACTTTAAGAACTGATACCAACTAATTCTTTATCAATTTTTAAAAATTTGGTCTTCTAACATTCACCCACAGTTTACTGTGATATATGTGGCAAATTATTTTGATAAAATGAACACAAACTAAAGTGAATAAACACATACACACAGATCCTGTTGAAGTAGAGTGTATACCTGCATATGCATACCCACCCACAGACCTCAGAACATGCCCACTTTGAGGTTACCCATCAACATCTGTTTGTTGGATCCCAGGTTCATGCAGAGTGGACATCCATGGTGTGCAGCCCATGCAAGTGTTGGGACGACTGAGGGCGGGTCATCCAGGGAGCTGTCTGGCACAGAGCGCCTGCGTAGACTGTGCCCTTTTTAGATGAAAAGAACTTTGCTGTGAATTGATGATAGATGTCCAGATGTGGAATATATGTGCTCTGCTTCTGATAAACTTAGTTTACTTGGGAGTCAGTTTTGCTGGCCGACTTGGCATCATGGAGCCCACGGCCACGGAGCACACGTGTGCTGTCGTGGGGGTGCTGCATACGTCCGTATACCCAGTTTGCCTCCCTAACCTCCTGCCTCATCTTTCAGCCCCGTGTGGTGGGCGTCTCACAGCGTCCAGTGGTGTCATTTTGCCTCCCGGATGGCCAGGATATTATAAAGATTCTCTGAATTGTGAATGGATCATTGAAGCAAAACCAGGGCACTCCATCAAAATAACTTTTGACAGGTAAGAAAAAAGCATTTTCTTCCTTAATTTGGACCTAACAACCCATGCATGCCCAACCTATTTATTTAAATGGATCTTATGACTGAGAAATATGACATTGTTTAGTGGGTTCCCCCAGAGGAATCTGCATAAAAGGAAACAGGCGCTCGCTGGGTGAGGTCCCACATTGTGCTCTCTCAGCCCACAGGAAGTCCCCGCCACAGGCTTGCTTGGGGATGCGGCGCTGCTGGGCGGTGTTTCCCAGCACTCGCAGCGCTGGCCCTGAGTCCGGCTCTGGATTTGGGGCCTGTGGGTGGGTTTGACTGCAAACGTAAGCCCCACTGATCCATCTGGAGCCTTCGAACAGCGCAGGTGGAAGGCGCCTCTCTCCTGGCGGTGGCTCGCGGTCACTGGAGGGCAGCTGCAGGCTCAGAGCTGGCAGCGTTTGTGTGCGACAGGTTAATTACCTGTAATTACCTAAGAGTGGTTCTGTCACTACAATGTTGCCTGGCCTAGCTTTTTGATAATCTAAAAAAATATCTTGCTATTTGAATTTTCCAAGATAAAATGCTTTCCCACTTGTCTCAGCAGTAAAATCAATATGATGAAAATCCAGAAATGTTTTCAAACGGACCCTATGCTTTGCCATCTAACAAAACGTCTTGGTCTAGTGTCTCAAGCTTAATGTCTGAGCAGCATTAGCCTTTCTCTAACAATGACCTTGAATAGAAGCATTCTGGGCTTAATATTCAGAATAGTATAATGTTTCAAGGCAGATGAACATACTTCCATTATTTTCTTTTTGTTTTCTACTCATTTCCTACTAATTAATGATATATACATAAAGGAAAGGTTTTAGCAGGAGTTGCATTATCTTTTACTAATTTTTTGTTTTTGAAATTATTATTCATATTATTACTTTATCTCTGATGGGATGATAATAGTTTCCAGTAGGATAATTTCTCAGAAGAAATGAAAATATTTGATTTATAGATCCATTTTGTTGGAGAATAGATCCTTGCATATATTCTTAATCATTGGGAAAAAAATAACTTTATAACATTCAGTAAATTATGTTTGTTTTAGTATTAGTTTTTATACTCTCTGCTTTTGAGGAGAAAAAGCAGAAGCACATCTTGATTCCCAGGAGCACATCCAACTTAAATCGTTCAGTGAAAATGGTGGTTTTATATTCTGGTGTGCAACAATTTATTTGCACTCTGTTTTTCAGTTGCCCACACAAAGAAACTCATCATTTTTCTCAACCTTGTCTTTTCAATATTATTGAACTGTGGTCTTTTGCTAAATTCCTTTCATAAATACCAATATTTCTGATATTTTCAGGCATTCATGATTTTTACAAAATTCTTTAAAGATTAATTGCACAGGGCAAGGTTACATCTTGAGCTGTGGGCTGACACCCTAATAGAGGACGCATTTGCACACAGAGTCTAAAGTTGCCCTCATCCCCTTGCTATGCAGTGTGTACGGTCACTAACTAAGGGGCAGCATTCCGCTCCTCCCCTCTGAGCTCGTCCTGGCAGTCCCCCAGCCGTAGAGGCACGTGCTCCGTCAGCCCTAGCTGTCGCTGCGGAAGGCGTGAGAGCTTTAGACCAGGTGTTTCACATGAGGTTACTTCGTGTTTGTCCTGACTCTTGAATTTGAACTCAGATAACAGAAATTTAGAGACAAAGCTGCGGGATCTGACCTCAGATGCCCAGCCTGTGGCCCTGACATGTGCCACATGACACAGCAGTCATCTGACCTCCCCTAAGGGAGATTGCAGGTGTCACCCCGTCCTAAGGTAGTTGCAGGAATATGTCATTCCTGCACATTGGACCAAGACAAGTGTGTGTGACTTAGTGATAAACAGGACGGAGACCTGGGGTTTCTACATCTTTGCTCTTTTGTGCCATGAAGCTCAGACAGCTGGCTCTCCCCTTGTCCTCACCATCAGCAATGTTCAATGTGAAGTGTGGGGGATAGGAGAATGACACTGGCTTCCGTGGGATTCTTGTCTGAAAGTCACGGAGAGAACCAGAGGCTCACAGCGCATAAGCTGCACCCTGAGAGCGCAGCCAGACACTTGGAAACCAGGTTAGCTCTTTGAGGATGAGACGGGCCCGTTTAGAACATTATCTCAGCACCTGGAATGGTACCTTCATTGCATCAAACGGGACCCAAGTGGCTGCAACTGTATATAACTGTAAGACTGGGCCACATTCTCTGGAAGCCTAACATCCTTCTTGGAAGAAAAGTTAAGCAGTTCTTGGAAACTATTCAAATCATTAAGGTAGCATTTAGTTTCTGGAGCAGCAGTGTGCTAAAGGCTCTCCTGTCCAGTAAGAGTTAAAGCAACTCTAAAAAGCACAGGATTTTTTTTCCCTGAAAGATATTTTAAGTATTACCATGTATCTCTTCCTTTAAGTATGCCCATCTTAAGATATCCATAATCATGTGAAATGGGGGATCATGAAACATAGTTTGAAAATACATAACAATTGGTTTTTCACTAATAGGCTTTTTTTTTTTCCTACTTAATCCATCCTTCCTTTTTTCTCTCTCTGAAAATTAATCTGGTTCAGTGTATTTTTGTTTTCCAGCTGAAACACTGCCCCTTTTTGTCTTTGTGATATTACAGGACAGAATATTCAGTAAAAAGGAGGGATCTAGGTTGCACCATTTTTTCTAGGAAAAGTGCTACCCTTATATATTATATGTGCCCAAGTTTTCAAAAATACACAGGCTTGTAAATCTTTTATTTACATTATGCACGTGGGTTTGTAAGTAATGAATGACGATACTATGGAGATGTCTGTCAGCTAACGTGGCTTGGCATTTCCTTCTGACTCGGTGCAAATATGCACAGATTTCAGACCGAAGTCAATTACGACACCCTGGAAGTCCGGGACGGGCCTGCCAGCTCGTCCCCACTGATCGGGGAGTACCACGGCACGCAGGCGCCACAGTTCCTCATCAGCACCGGCAATTCCCTGCGCCTGCTCTTCGCCACGGACAGCAGCCGGGCCAGCGTGGGCTTCCTCATCCGCTACGAGAGTAAGTGGTCCCCTTCCACCTGCGGCCTCGGCCACGCTGCACATGCGCCTTCCTTCACCAGAGGAGGGCCGCTCTGGATTTGTACTTACAGCACAAAAACGCTTATTAGTTCTCTATAAAGTAAGATCAAAACACAATAAAATGTGTTCATTTAGTGCATGATGTGAGAGTAAATGTCTAGTATGAGAAAATATACTTACTGTCCCAGTTCTGTCACCCTAAGTCTAAATTTGGCTCTTAGCTTTAGCTTCTGAAATTAGGAGATCGAGTCATTGTATTATTTTATAGTAATATTTATGCAGGTTGACACCTGGAATATAACTGAGGAGGAGTCACCTGGGAGTACATCTTTAATGCTTGTCAATTAAGAAAAAACACTTTATAGATTAGAAGGTGGGTGTGTGCAGGTTCACACTCTTTCTAAAGGAATAAAACCCCTAATTTGAAGGATTTTTTTTACGGTTGTTCCTTTTCAGGATCTTATCCCAAAATTAAAAAAAAAAAGTTTCAGTGTAACTATAAATTTATATGTTTACATATACCTACACATATAATTACAGAAATGCATGAAGGAATCCTATGTAACGTGCTGGATGTTAAACCATTATTTTTTTCTTTCTCTTACTCTCCCCATATCACCTCCTGCCCTCATGCTGACCTCCATGCAAGCCCTGTTCCAAAACTCAAGTGACTGGCCTATTCTGATGGCAAGAAAATTGACTATTAATGATCTAAATATTATCTCAAATTTAATTCAACATTATCAAATACATGCAGCATTTATTTCAAAGTAACATTCCTTTAAAATTGAATGAAGTACAGTTTAAGATCCCCAAAATTTCATATTTCATTCTTTTTTACTGTCATCCCAAGTGGTCCCTTCTCTTTGGAGTAAAGATGTGCACATGTTCCAGTCATCTGAATGTGTAACATCCTAAGTGTGGACAGCAGGCACTGTCTCCCCATTGCACACCCCACTCTTCTGAAGACTAGATGTGCTTGGTGTCTGAATATGCAGCTGGGAGAAACTTAAGGGAATATGTATCGCCAGGCAGGTCAGCACTCGGACAGCCTCTTTCCTACTCTTCTCTCTCGTCTGCCGAGCCTGGACCGCGCCCACAGCTGGCGCCCTCTGGGGGGGGGTGTCCTGAAGCCTAGACGCAGGTGGCAGAAACTAAGTCCATCTGCTCACCTAACTCACACAAGTGGGCTGCTCTTTTCATTCTTTCTCAAATTCAAGGATCATAGAAAGTCAGTTCACAAGCTCCATTTCAGCTTGTCATCCTCGCTAATATAAAATGATATAATGTAAAGTAAAATAAAGCATACAAGGTAATAGTGTAATGTAATTTAATTATAGCATTCGAACAATAACCTTAAAGGAACGACCAGGGCATTTCAGGGTCCTTGCTGTTTGTGTGGAAGCAGCCCTTTCCCCTGCGGCGACCCTTAGGGAACAGTGCTCTCTGTCTTCCTTTCTCGGCGTCCGCGAAGGCAGGATGAACACAGGGCCAAGCTGTTGGGTGTGGCGGGGAGACACTTGCATGGGTGTCATCAGTTTCCGATCCCTTGGGTCTCAAATCCCTTCCCCTGATGCTTCACCGGAAAATGGGCTTTGCAGGTGAGATGCAGGTATGGCATTTTTACAAGAAGATGAGTCAGGAAAGGCCTGGGACCTTTAACACAGTGCTTGTCAGCTGGTGTTACCTGCAGGCCCTAAACCTGAGTGGACATCAGGTGCCAGCTCACAGCTTTGCTGCCCCTGCATGTGGACAGGGACCTGGGCATTTCTGGGGATCACCATAGCCAACTCCATGGCCATCCTGTTTAGAAAGATGGTGCAGGAGCATTACTGTGCACAGACCCTTCCCAGGGGATCTTCGTAAACAGAGAGCCCTAGGCTCAGAGCCAGCATGCCTGTTGTGCAGGCCAGCGTTCTGGGTGTTCAGTCAGGTGCACAAGGTGATCCTGAAGGCAGTGGTGTGCAGGTGGCTGTGAGCGACTGAGTCAGAATGGGCAGGCCCGACAGAGCCCAGGGGCCCAGGCAGAGCTGCAACGGACGCAGCAGCGGGAGGGCAAGGAACCCATGAGGGGGCAGAGGCAGACCAGATGCATGTGGGAGGGACCCCGTGCCGGCCCCTCATGTTGTGCCCATGCCTAGTACCCTTTGGAGAAATCTGTTCAGAAGCCAACGTGCAGGCACTGGAAGGTAATTAAGCTTGTTCATCCAGCACATTTTTTACAGATGGACTGCCTCTGACCCAGGAATGATCTATGTTAAATTCTTTAATCATTTAAAAATAGTAACAGAGCTCACCCCCCTTTTGCCTTTCTCATAAATGGCTGACACTGTGAACCTTCCTTGCTTTAAAAAAAATGATCGACCCCACTTCATGCCCACATGGGCCCCCAAAAATCTGCTTTACCGACATTAAGTGTTGCAGAAACAACCACGCTGTACTCTAGGTTGGCTTACGTTTACAGTGGTGACATGAGTGGTGTGAGCTACTCTAAACAGCATTAATTTCACCTCTTTTTGAATTGGGGGGCAGAAGGACTGAAGTCATTTTTTCAAGGTTTCCCTAAAAGCATACCTAGAAATTGTAGTGCTCTCTCTGTACTGTCTTAAGAATCATAGCCCTTATAAATACAGTGTCCAATTACAGTCTGTCCTTTTATTACTTTGTTCTTCACAAGGAATCGCAACACTATTTCTTCGTATAATAGTAATTGCACTATCCTCCCGGATAATCACTTTCTGTGTTTGCCAGTCTTTGAACCACCACTTTAAAGTAACTATAATTTCATAGGGAATTGGAAAATAAATGGATTTCTCAAATATGTGGATGTGTTCTATTTAATTTTAGAACATTTCTTGGAAATGCTTTCAAAAGTAACTTTTTAATAGTATTTCAAGAAATAGCAAGATTCTCTACTATGCAATTCACACACTGCAATTTTTTTAGATTGTGATAGGAAAAGGAGTTTGTTGGGGAGAGGGGGTGCCCAGGCAACTTGTTTCCTGAGAGTCAGTGACGTTTCTTATGATCAAAAGGGGAAACTGGTCAGATGCAGATGCTGTGCAGTTGGGGAATTGTGAACAGCACCCACACACAAATGAGAGGGACAGAGAGAAGAAAATGGGCTGCGGCTTAGGTTTGAATCTCAGTGAATAATTGAATGGGACAGATTGCCTTGATTTCTTGGCTGACTTCCTCACCTATAAGATGGGACCGTTCCTGCTATTCAAGCTGTGGGAGGTTATGGGAAGTGACAAGCTAGGGCTTAGTGGAGCAGAGGTACTCAGAATATCCATTCCCTCCCCTGGGTGGGAACTTTCATAAAAAGAGACAGCTGAATGGAAATTTATTTACACCAAATGCTCATTACTATGATCTGCACACAGTCTTCCTTAGAGCAATCAGCCTCTCTTATTTACTGAACAGCAAGTATATTCAGTCATTTATTGAACAAAGGTCAGATGATCAGAAGCATATTTGTATCATTTGTGGCAAAAGTTTCAAGTAAGAAGCAGTTGGAACAGAACCTGAACGTATGTATTCATAGCTTCCACAGAACCACGGAGGCAGGTCTTCATTTTGTTGTCAGGGCCGGTGTAGGAAGGGGAACGGTGTCCCTTTCCTCCAGAGTAAGCCAGCTGCCTGTCCTCACAGACTGACTGCAGTCCGGCTACAGGTCCTGCCCCGCTGAGCAGCGGCACCCCCTCGGCCGAGCCGCACTTCCTTCCCCACTGCCGCCTTGGTTCGGGGTTCCGAGAACTGGTCGTTAGATCTAGTCTGACTCTGCCCCTCAGTAGTTACCTCCGTGCTACCTGTCAGGAAAGCTGGTAATGCAGAGGAGCACATCTCCGACCTTAGTATTGCCGCCCATCCTGTAAAACTCAATGAATGGGTGAATGAATAAATGATGGAATAATTTGCCACTGACCAGTAAGCATACACATTACTTATGCTTTAACTTAGTTTTCCATGTGAACTCTAAATTTAATCTTGTATGCCTTGGTTTCCTCTGGTAGTTTTCTCGTCTTTCCCTAAAAATTTTCTGTGGGCAGTTCTCTGATAACTTCATAAATTTCATCCTGGGACTCCTCATTGCCCACCACCTGGAGGCCCACCTCCCGTGGCTGTTGCCCGCCGTCGGGCAGTGAGCGGTGTTGCGCAGGGACCGTGGAAACCACGGGAAGAGGTGGGAGCGTCGGCTTGGGTCCGTCAGGAGCCCAGGCCCTCATCCCGTTCCTTGGAGGGATTCTCGTTCATCCTGATGCTCCCAGCTGCTCAGCCAGCGTCTGTACGCGCGGTGTGCAGGGCCTGTGCCAAAGGAGGAGGCTCACAGGGTGGCACCGGGGAGGCGATGCCTCGAGCCGCAGGCACCTTCTCCCCATGGGGTCACGGGCAGCCGTGATGTGTGACAGTGTGCCCAGTTTCCCGCCAGCCTGGGAATCTCGCCTGCGCTTCCGCGACCGTTTGTCAGTGTTCTGTTACGTAGGCATTGCTGATTGAGTTACTGCCTCCCCACCCATGCCCCATGGTTGGCCTCAGCTTCCAGCTGCCCTCCTGCCTGTAGGTCAGACTGAAGTCCTGTACCCCCAGGGCCTACCCTGAGCTACCTGATGAACATAAACTGTCAGGGGTCCACTGTGAATAGCAGAGACACCCCACCACTCTGGAAATCCAGGAGCTGAGAGGGTACCTCCCAGAAGCGAGGTGTCTCTTGGAAATCACATCCTCTGTATTTTGAATAGCAGCTCAGCTGTTCCATTCATGGTCCTGGTCTGCTGAATCACATGTCCCTGTACCCATGAGGAAACATTATCACTCCTTATTTATTTTAAAAAGTCATGCCTTAGTTGTATTTCCTACATTTGACTTAGTGACGGAAGGTGTGTTCATAAAGCACAGCACACGAGCATTGCTGATCCACTCACTGTGATCAGAAGTTTGTCTCAGAGGTCATTGTAGGGGACTAAGCAATCTGTATATTGGCAGTAATTTAAGACTTTAGTAGTTCAAGTCATATCTAGAATGTTCTGAACCCTAGAGAGTTTGGTATAGCAAGAATAAGATCTCTTATTGCTGTGCATTCGTGAATGTCACAATGATGTCTCTTTCCCTATCCCCATTTTCCTTATCTTTAAAAATATATATATCATTCTGAAAATAAAGAGAAATGTTGAGACAGAAAAGAAATTCTCATGACATGATCATAATTACTTGACTTTATATATAGCACTTCAGTTTTTCACATCTTTTAGCAGAGGCTAATCGTAAGCCATCTCAAGTACTGACTTAAGTACAAATCTGGGCAAGACGTGTGGATTTATGGAAAGCAATTCCAGAAAATCAAATCTAGTGCAGCTTTAATTTGCATTATGTATGTACAGTATTGTGTGTCTGTATACATACATAGGAACGTTGAAGTATGACTGCCGAAATCTAAGTGGAACATGGAATATGAAAAGAAACAGTGCGTACGAAGGGACAGAGATAGAAAAGCACAAAAAGCCTTAGACTCCCTCTAGTACAGTCCATTAGTTTCTGAGTGAAGGCAAGTAAAATTCAATGAGTCATTCATGTTTGCACTCCTTAAATATCATGCATATAGTGTAATGGTATAACCTCTGTACAGGAAAACAGGGTCAGATATCTGGAAACATATTGGTTTTTGCATGAATGGATTACTGGATTCACTTGCAGAATTTTCCAGGTCTGATGATGTCTGGGGATATTTCACATGCATATGGCACCAATATTTTTTGTTTTCTGTGAGCTGGAGAAGTCTTTACCAAGTGCATTCTCCCGTGCACCCAGGTGTGACTCTGGATTCCGACTCCTGCCTTGACCCCGGGATCCCTGTGAACGGTCATCGGCATGGCAGTAACTTCGGCATCAGGTCCACGGTGACTTTCAGCTGTGAGCCGGGGTACACACTAAGTGAGGACGGGCCCCTTGTCTGCGAGAGGACCCACCAGTGGAGCCACGCTCTGCCCAGCTGCGACGGTAGGTGGGGGCCCGGGAAGCTGCAGATCAAGGAAAAGCAGAGCCGTGCCCATATTTGAAAAGCTGGGCTGGTGTGCATGTTTCCCAGGGATTAATGTGACTGCAGTGGAATTTCTGTTGGAAAGGTTGTACACCTTAAAATGTTTTCTGTGTAACACTTGAAGCTTACCTCGCAAATACTCTCTATGAGATAGAGCAGCCATTTGGAAATGAACGAAAAATTATGGGCTGTCCATCAACTTTATGCGCAAACCCTCAGGCTTACAGAGCTCACTCCGCCCAGGCTCTTGCACGTGGCCTGTGCTTAGACAGCCCAGGAGGCAACGTGGTGGTGTATGCACTACCCTGTCAGACCCGAACTTCCCCTGAACCAGGTCCAGGTGTCAGACATCCTCTAGATCTGCCCCACCTGCCTGCACCCTCTGACCCTTCACCTCTGGCCAACCTCCTTTCCCAGGGGACCGGGGAAGTTGTTTCTCAGCAGATCTCCAAGTGGTTCGACGATGCCAGCCACACCCTGCTCCGCACGGGCCAGCTGGGAGAGGAAAGGGCAGTAAGAGTGAAGGCCTGGAGCGCTTGGGGAGAGGACCTAGTTTGCCGAGGGCAGATGATGGCCAGGGGTAGTTGAGAGGCCTCTCACACTAGTCCTGGCAGGGTGCACCTGATCCCATACGTGAGAGAGCGGAGCTGCAGCAGGCCCCCAAGGACAGCTCTGTCATTGTCCCTTTTCGTTGTAGGGCTTCCAGGTAAGATTTATTCTGAGAAAGTGGTTCCAGTGTAAATGAATGAATGAACAAATGAAATCAGTGATCGCAGGACTTGGAGAGTCCATGAATAACTTGAAGTGGAAAGTAACCTTGTTGAGTGTTGGCTTTGAATAGAACTTTATCAGTAGCTTAGAGCAAAAAGATAATAACGGGAAAGGAGAAAAGGAAGAGATCAGGTAGTACCCTGCATGTTCCACAGGCACATCTCCTTAGAGGCAGGGGGACAGAGGGGGGGCGATGATTAGACAGACCCCGCGGTTACCGGAGGCACGAGAAGAGCAGGATGGAAAGACGCGCCATGGTGGGGACACGGGCCACGCGAGAGAGAAATGCCTCTTAGGTCACATTCCAGACACTTAGAAAGCAGTCGGAAGTGCAGCTGAGCTTTGAGAAAGAAGTCAGCATTTCAAGATGTGAATTTGCAGGCTCTCAGTTTTTAGCGTCAGCATTGTGGAAGGAACAGTCACCTTCCGGGGACAGGGGAGCCTTTCATGCTTAATCCCTCTGCCACCTTCATCTCTCAAGCAGAAAATAGCTAAAACCTATGACATAGTCCACATACTTCAACTCTCGCCTTCCTCCAATCCAGGTAGAGGAGACACTGAAAAATGTATTTATTAAAGCTGAAGTTTTGGTTCTTGAAACCACTGACTTGTCTACAAACTCAAATGGATTAGAAGACTTTGGGCAGCTGAGGGGAGGCTTGGAATGATGGGGAGTCAGTAACTACAGAACCCAGGGGAGGTCGTGGTCTTTCTTTGGAGGACCAGTAGGCACCCAAGGACCCTGTGATAAACTGGCAGTCGCCACCCATCACAGTGTGGTCTCTTATCAGTGGGTCTACTCAGACCTTCTGCATTCCCCCACCATGGTCACATCACTCCCTCTGAATTCAGGTCCTGGGAGTGGACCTCCGCATGGTGCACACCTGTCACATGGCTGCCTCAGCAGCCCAGCCCTCTCATTACCTAGACAGCCTTCGAGTTTTGAGAACAGTTAAGATTCTTGTTCTTAGAACATGTCATGAGTAGTTCTATCTTCTTTGCACACCCACTAGGCAGATGTAAACTTTGGAAAGACAGGGCCTGTGTGACTTATGTTGTTTGCCCAATAGCAGAACAGAGTGCGTGGAAAATAATAGTTCCTCGGTCAATAATTTTGGATGGATGGATGGATAAAGCAGAGGCTCAAACAGAGAACGTGAACCACGGTTGGGCAGAACACACCAACTCCCCTGGGAGAAATCCCAGCATATGTCACCTTGTCCATCTTTCCCTGGTTTCTGTGTGTCTTGGTCCTCCACCTGAGAGAGCTCCAAAATAATACCTCTGGGTCTTGGATTATGGGGAGATAACATAAGTAGAAAAGTAAAATTCAAGAAATTATAGCCTTAAGCACAGCAAAATTTTACTGTAGTATCTTTCACAACTACCCAGAATAGACCATACAGTGAAAAAAGAAATAGGTTATTGTGATTCACATTATAGCAGCTGTCTTTGTGGCTCCACTAAAGGGAATAGAGACGGGTGTGTGTGAATATAGTCACGGACCCATGAGGGCTCTGAAAGGAAGCCAGGTCTCTTCTTTTAATCCCTTCTCTCTTTAATTTCAGATGAGAATATCAATGCAATTCTCTGTACAGGAACTCTACCCTTTCTGAAACAAACAAAAAAAGTAGGCTTTTTGGACAAAATTATTTTAATTCAAAATATCTGTAATGATTAGATCATTTTGTGTTTACACATACATGAATCGAAATAAGCAACAGATTTGCTGTATCTGTATCTTTGTGTCACTCTGTTGCTAAGGGGCAGCTTGATGGTACTGGTTAGCAATGTCTGGGTTTTTCATCAAATGGATGGAAGACAACACACAGTGGTCAGCTTCTCCCCAGCATGTGATCAGTTTATCTTGATGGCATTAAGAATGAGTGAAACAAAGATGGATACATTTTATGATTTTGAATGTGACTGCATATGAATTAATTTGTATCAGCCTGTATAGCAGAGAGAGAGAGATTGGTTTATTATGAGGAATCAGCTCATGTGATCATGGAGGCCTTCAAGTCCCAAGTCCACAGTCCTCAGTCTGGACACCCCAGGGAGCAGTGGTGTAGGCTCCAGTCTGAAGGTGGGCAGGCTTGAGACTCAGAGCTGAAGTTTCAGTTCAAGTCCCAAGGTCAGGAAAAAGCTGATGTCCCAGTCCACTGGAAGCCAGGCAAGAGGATTTGTACCTCATTTGTGGAAGGTTCACCCTTTTGTGTTCTATTTAGCCCTTCAACTGATTGGATGAGGCTTACCCACATTAGGGAGGGCAGTCTGCTTTATTCAGTTCATCAGTGCAAAGGTTAACCTCATCCAGAAACACCCTTGCAGATACACCCAGAATTATATTTGATTGGGTGTCAGGGCATCCCATGGCCCAGACAAGTCGACACATAAAATTAACCATCATAACAAGACTCTGCTTTAACCACCGAGCCTCCCTCAGTGTGATTTTTCTAGATTTTGTCCTACTTAGGATGCCTGTATATGAACTGGCTTAGTATAATTGCAAGTAAAATAGTTTTGGTTTTGTCTTCATTTAATGGAGGTGATATTAAGTATTCATTTAGTCCTTGTGCAAATTAAATATCCCTTTTAAAGTATTTTATTCCAGTAATCATTGTGGAACTTTAATACTACAATAACATGTCCTTGTTATTTTAAGCTCTCTGTGGAGGGTACATCCGTGGGAAGAGTGGCACCATCCTTTCTCCTGGGTTCCCAGATTTTTATCCTAACTCTTTAAACTGCACGTGGACCATTGAAGTATCTCATGGAAAAGGTAAGAATATTACAGAGATTTTCAATATACAAGATAAATAACAAGATACAAACATGGAGACAAAGAAGAAAAGTATTCATGTGTGAATGAGTAAGATAACTAATTTCCTTACATATATCTCAACAATTTTGATTTTTATAAGATTTTGAAAAAATGATCTCACATTATTTGTACTATAAGCAAAAGTAGATCCCTTCTTCTACTCCCTATTTATCAAATAACTGAGATTTATGCATGTGAATATAAGCTTGAAAATTACATGTAAGTGAGGAAAAGAGGCATGCATTAAATAAAATATGAAACCTGATTAAATAAAAGGAAATAAGAAATTATCTAGAATTCTCATTCTGGGTCACGGTAGGTGGAGGATACCTATTTGTGCTTGACTTCATTCTAAGTCTTCCCAGCATTATTACACACAGTAAATAAATCGTTTATCTCCACATAATGCAGTGAAGATTTATAGAACAAATTTCATTATCCTAATTTTATAGTTAGTGAAGAACAGGAAAATCGGCATTTTATGCAAGAAATAGAGTTTATAAACACTGATTTACACTGGGTGTTTTTTATGACTGAACTTGTCATTTTTAAGGAGATAGCCTGGGATTTTGAGCACACAGATGTCATGTAGACTTTGTCATTCCTATTATATTTGAACTCACCTCTATGTTAAATGGACATATCTATTACATGTGCTGTATTACACTGTGCTGTCATAAATGCATGTTAAGAATTTGGCCTTCAGGAAATTAGGAATAAAGAAACAGATTCTGGGTAATCAAGGATTTGGCATCATAAAAATAAGTGTTTTTATTAAAGAGGACCTATTTGTAGTTAATTTTATTCATTCTGCTCTTGAAGTCCAGAAACAACACATGGGTGTGGTAAGTTGAGGACACAGGCACCAGGCCCATAAATGTGATTTCGAAAAGCCTTTCCTAGGCTGTGTAAGTTTATATGCTAGACCGCAGCCCAGATTTTCTAAAATGCACTTGTTTAATCTAAATGGGAGAGTTATCTGACCCTCTGTTCCTCTGGGCCAGGAGCTCTCTCTGAGGGCCCATGGGCCGTCCCTGCAAGCTTCCTGCCGTGTCTCACGTACATACCTGTGTCGGCATCCATGCCTGCCCCCTGCGCCCCTGTCCCGTCTGTGTCTGTGCAGTGCCGGCACAGGTCTGAACCGAGGTGTTTGTCTCTGCTGTGTATGCCCTCTCCTTTCTGTCATTTCTCATACCGCTCTCCTTCTACCCATTCTCCCTATTTCCCTTTAAAGCTTGAAAGTTAAATTTGTTTACCGAGATTGTATTTTGATTCAAGGTTTTGATGTCTCTGAACCCAGAAGAAATTATTTTTCCCCAATTGTTGACTCTCCTGATCTCTGATCCCTGTCTCTCTCTCTCCCTCTGTCCTGTCTCTGTATGTCACTGTCTCCCTGTCACTCACTCTCCATATGTCCTGTCTCTCCCTCTCTCTCTCCCCCTCCGCCTCTGTCTCTCCCTCTGTCTCCCCGTCTCTGTCCCTTTCTCTATCTCCATCCCTCCCTGTCACTCACTCGCTGCCTGTCCCATCTCTCCCTCTCTCTCCCTGTCCCTGTCACCGTCTCATCACCCCCTCTGTTTCTCAGGAGTTCAGATGGTTTTCCACACCTTTCACCTGGAGAGCTCTCATGACTACTTACTGATCACGGAGGACGGGAGCTTCTCGGAGCCCGTGGCCAGGCTCACGGGGGCGGTGCTGCCTCACACTATGAAGGCGGGTCTGTTCGGGAACTTCACGGCCCAGCTTCGGTTTATATCCGACTTCTCCATTTCCTACGAGGGCTTCAATATCACGTTTTCAGGTACGCTGGCCTCTTCTGCTGTCATCCTCTCTGGCAAGAGTGGGACGTTAGTGTGAGTGAGTGAGTCTGAGGGTGTGTGTGTGCACACCTGTGTGCTGAGTGATGGTAAGTGTCATGGATGCGTCCGGGAGGCCAGGCCTCTGTAAGCAAGATGGGAGGACAGCTGCCTGGCACCCGCAGAATGCCTCCCTGCCCCCTGTAAACTCTCATCCCTGAAAATCATCGATGCCCCTGTGTTTGAATAGCACCGCCTCCACTCATTTCTCATCATCAAAGCCTCTGAGGAAACGGAGCACCCTGGGAAACATGCTCGGAAGCTGCCGTCATCTGACTATATAGGTTCCTTCCCCCGAGGACATACTGTTCCTTGACCTGAGAACCTCAGGGGTGAACAGGAAAGCGGGGACACACACAGCTGAGGGCGGGCTTTTCGTTCCCACCATCACACACAGAGGTAGGGCTGCTACAGAACTGAGCAACATTTCCCTTTAAATATAATACATGGATAATATTTGTGAAGGGTTTCTGCAGTTTCAGACATGATCCGGTTGTTTGAATGGTTCTAGGAATGGTATTACTATTTTTTTACACATGAGGAAAGAAATTACATACACTTAAACTCTGGCCAAACGTGTGCAATAAAGTTGATCACATGCGTAGTGTTCAGTGAGCATATAGGGGTCAGGCTCCTACAGCAGCTCAGCGCACCCCCCACCCCGGCCAACAGGTAGTCCCAAAAGCAAGTGGTCTCTTCACATTTTAAGCTCCCGTAAGTTTGATAACTTCCGATACCAGCTGTGAGGCTCTCTGTCACAATAGTCGGGTGCTCGTCTCACCTCCTCTTCTGAAACGCACACTCTCAGCAGAAGGGTTTCTGTGCGGCCCATCTCTTCTCTGCGGTAGCTCTTCCTCTGCGTTATCACGGAGGAAGTTAACATTGCTCACCCAATATTGCATGAACAGTACATACGATGAAATGCTATCTTTTTTCAGCTCTGTTGGAGATCACTTTGACAAAATGAAATCCTGTCTTAAACAAAAGGATTTCTCAGGGATTATAAAATGCTCTGAACTGTTTGACGTTCCCTGTAATCATGACCATTCGCCATTCATCTTAATCTGCCTCTGTTGACTTTTTCCTGGTATTTCACCACGTTAGTGGAGCTTTCGAGATGACTTCAGACTACTTGATTTCTTGGAAATTTGCTCTAATCAGTAATAATCATGAATTGGCCACTTCATGTATCAAAGCCTTAAATCTTCCTGACACTAGTAGCTGAATCACTCTCTGTATATTCTCCCCTGGTGGAGCTCAATTGGTACCAGTATGAGAATGTCACTCCCCTCTGTTCCCACTTCCTTCATGGTCCAAAATGAATTTAAAAGAACACAGCAACAAAAAAAGAAAATGGCAGCGACTCCAGCCTGCAGAGCTGTGCCGTATGTACCTCTCATGCGTCTGTGCATTTTTTTTTGTTTGTTTTGGGGTTTTTTTGGGTTTTTTTGTTTTTTTTGTTTTTTGTTTTTTTTGTTTTTTCTTTTTTTTTTGGTGCCCTCTCTGAGGCTCGAACGTCTGTGCATTTTTATCCCTTTTCTCCATCTGTGTTTTAATTCTGCTGGTCCCACTAGAGCTGACAAGGCATCTTTTAATTACCAGGAGTCAGTGTGCAACTCAAGGCTGACCTTCCCTTTTCATAAACTCCCTGAACAAGGAAGCAAGCGAATAGCAAGGGGAGGCACAAAATATGTCTTTCTGGGTCTGTGTAGCTCTTTAGGGCAGTTTTAAGATTCTTTTATTAAATGTCAAAACTAATATGGTCAGTTTTTGAACACGTGTAATGATTCACTTGGTCACAACCAGTAGCAAGTTTCCATTCTGTGAGGCGTGCGGAAGGAGTCACTTTGGCCCTCGCACAAGCTCAGTCAGTCTTTAAGAACAGGAAGAACTCACCTTTGATGGCAAAGCCAGTTGAAAGTAAACATGTTGTCAGGCTAGAGAAAGAGTTTTGTTTGGAGGGATTTTCCCGTGAAACTGCGAACAGTTGCTGGTGACGCTAATACCAGGGAGATTATTTTTTAAGTGTCCAAATAAGGAGCAACTTTATTATGCAAAGGAGGCACTTACCCTTCTGGGTACTTTTCTGATGTTTGTACTCAATCCATATGCTTTTATACCTGCCTTTTTCCCTTGTTAGTCCAGTTTGTCTCTGTCTTTTTTGAGATGACTTCATTAAAGCGACACTTCCCGATGTGTGTCCCAGGTGGGCCTCTGCAGGTGCCCCCGGGAACGACAGCGTGAGAGCCGCAGCCGCCTCTGGCCGCGCACACCTCGGGCTCTGAGCTGGCTTCCCCACGCCCGCGGGGAGTCGGCTTCGGAGTGCCCGCGGTCCAGAAGTCATGCGACATCCAGTCAGTCTCTTGAAAAGATGCACGTTTGGACGACATGGTGCCTTTATGTGTCGTTTTCTTTTGTTCCTCACCAGGCAGGACTCCGCTGAGGGCAAACATGTGCTGTCCGCAGCCTTCCCTCTCTTCCCTAAGCTGGAATTTCCCCCTACATTTCTGTAGTGCCATATACAGATATTCCAAAATTACGTGTTTACCATCACCAGTGTGCTGGGTCTGTGTGCTTCGCTGCACCCTGAGGACTCACTCACGTATCTTCTCCTGCTGGTGGCCTGCCAGTGCCTGGGAAAGAGTGCAGCATACTCATTCTATCATTGTTTTTGTTTTTTTTCCCCATTCTGTGAACATTTTCTGAGCACATATAAGATACAGGCATGATTCCAGGCCCTGGAGACAGCAGTGAATAAAGCCAAAAAATCCTTCCTTCATGGAGCCCGGATGGCAGCGGGGGAGGTAGAGAGATGGGGCCACCATCAGAAAGAACAAACTGGGTGAAGGGAATAGGAGGAAAGGTACTGGCACGCAGAGCTGTCAGGGGGGGTCTTCCTGCTAAGCTGACCCTGACTGCAGAGCTGAGAGCAGTCTGCATGGAGGGCCCGGCAGGGCAGGGACCCAAGGCGAGGGGGACCAACGCCCTCCCCTCGCAGGACTCACCACGCGGGAAGGAATGGGGCAGGCACGCGGTGCTGTCAGAACCGATATTTTGGGTGCTTGATCCAGAGGTGGCTGGATGCCAGGCATTACTGCTTTTTCCTTTTTTTTTCCTTTTCCTGAGTAGTTTACAGAAATTTTAGGTCTATAGAATATTTTCCATTACATTACAATAAAGCGTGGTATATAGATTGAAAACAGGCAGAAAAACAGTTGCTGTTCCCCTCTGAGGTGTATTTTAGAGGTGAAGCTGGTGCTGCTCAGCCTCCCACCTGCATGGCCCTTCGATCCTGCTTGTGCCGAGCGCTCCGTGCCTCAGCCACCCAAGAGCACCTTCAGGAGGAGGGCCCTAGTGGCTTTAGCGATCAGCATGCCAGTAAGATCATGCCACGCGGTGGAAGAGACAGTTTTGAAATGAATCACTGTATTTTAAAAGTGCATCTGTTTTTAAAAATGTAAACACGTGTGCTGTCTGTTACGGGAGAGCACGTGGCACAGAGGAAAACAGTCCATGGGACAGTTACCGCAGGGCTTGGAAAACTGCATATACACAAAAGTTTATTTTTAATAACAGCACTTGATTATTCTTGCTAAATAATTTCTGAGTATCCCCTGAAGTGCGCACACACTTACTCTGTCTCTTCATGTCCCAGAGTATGACCTCGAGCCGTGCGATGACCCTGGCGTCCCCGCCTTCAGCCGGAGGATTGGTTTTCACTTTGGAGTCGGGGACTCGCTGACCTTCTCCTGCTTCCCGGGGTATCGCTTAGAAGGTGCAACCAAGCTTACGTGCCTGGGTGGGGGCCGTCGTGTGTGGAGTGCACCTCTGCCAAGGTGTGTGGGTAGGTGGTCACACGCTTTCATTTCATTCATCCAGGGGCCAGGGTGGGTACAGTCAGGGGCAGGAGCCCGGGGCACTGGCGGTGGGCCAGGCTGCCACCCAGTGCGACCACCCTGACTGCGGTCAGCGCTGGGCCAGTCCCGTTGGCAATAAAATGTGATGACGGAAGGAAAGTGAAGTGTTTATGAAGGAAAAGAAAAATATATAGATATAAAACTAAAAGTAATCTGGAAGAAAAAGAAAGATAACAGCCAGAACCCACACTGTATTGACACAGCCATTGCTGATTATATTGCTTAGAAGCCGCATCTCCCAGTAGAATGACAGTGACCATCTAAATGCGAGCTTTGTTTTTTCTCTTCAGTCTCACTCTGACTGAGTGACTGTGGCACGTGCCTGCCAAGTGCACATTGCAATGCTGAACTGGCTTGCCAGTGTGTTCCTGAAGGAGCAAAGGGGTCATTCCAAAGAGCAACAGAGACCTTTACCTCGGTTCTTTGAAACGAGGCACGCGCTGGCCTGGTGGGACCAGGTCGCCCACTTGGTGAGGTTCCGTTTGGGGTCGATCTGACCCATGCTGCTGTGAGGAGTTAGCAGAGGAGAATACATGTATCTGAGAGACGATGTGGTCGCCCAGCTGCAGTATGGGGTGGTGCCAGCACATGTGGAGGTCTAGTCATTAGTCCCAGAGGCAATGTCCAGTCCCCACCCCTCAGCCATGTCACTCACCCCTGGGACATGGTTAGGTTCTGTTCTTCACAGTTACAGAAAACCATCTAATATCCTAGCATTACGGCCTCCGTCTAGAGAGTAACTGTGGCCCACTGAGTCCATGGATTATCCCTAATACTTTCTGCACTAATCCAACTTTTTTGTAAACTAGAGGCAGGGAGGAAAGTCATGAAAACAAGATTTCATAACGCATAAAAAGTGCTACATTGTTAACTTAGTAAAACCACGTTTTTTTCCCATGGCACAGAATCTCCTGAGTTGTCAGCATTATTCAGGAATATCACCCCACTCAGCAGTTAATACCCGCTGTGTTTCATTGAACCGCGGAGTAAGATGGTCAGGACTTAGCTTCACGTGTCCTGCCAGAGTATCATCGACTGCCTGCTCCCCATCGGGCCTGCACAGGCCCCTGCACACCACGCCGCCGGGCTCTCTCCTCAGACAGCAGCTCCCACCTTCTGGGCTGTGACTGGTACTTGAGAATTGGATGCCAGCTTTGAACATGGTCTCAAGAGAGAGACACAGTGTTGCATTACCAATCCCGGGGGTCCCCAGGGGGGTCTAGCAGCCATAGCCCTTGAGTTGGAAACTACAGAATAAGTTTAAGATTTGGAATATCAATGACATCAGAGCTTTGCTCCCTGCACGTAACATTAAGTTGTCTGTCGATGATGATACTCCATTTGGTATCGCTCTGATCTGGGTTCATTATCTTTACACTGTTATTCTTGTTCCTCAGTTTTATGCTGTTGCCTAGAATACAACATGAGAAGTAACTGGGCTGACACAAATGTTAATGTCCACTGAGCCATCATTCTGGCCCAGACACTGCTCTGAACCCCTTACATGCGTTAACCTGTCCAGTCCCCGGGATGCCTCTGTGGCATGAGCTCAGTTGTCATCGCCGTTCTAGACAGGACACCAAGGTGCAGAGAAGCTGCCGGCTTTGCCCACGGTCAAACGGCGCCTGAGAGCCGCTGCTCACCGTGGGCGGCCTGAGCAGCACGTCGGCCTGGCTGCGCCCTTTCTACATTCAGCCTCTCATGCTCTGCTTTTCTTGGCTCTCCTCGGCCCATCCAGCTGCAGGATGCCTTTAAGGGAGCACATTACCTGTGGTGCTAAACCACTGGTAGACACATCCGTCTGGGAGCTGCTCTGATTTCCGGCTTGCGTTGTGCACATCGTGTCAGTCGCTGTTTCTGAGGAGGCGGCCTCCCACCGACTCTGAGATCAGCCTCCCTGTTCTGTGCTCACCTTGAGTCATCTCTCCCCTTTGTACCCTGCGGGTCTCCCAGGCTCCAGACAGACCCCAGCCCCTAAAAGGACCCATTAGTTAGTCCCCCGCGGTATTCAGAACCGACCGTCCTGCACTCCATCGAGGCGCCCGGGCCCTCTGTGCATCGTCAAGAGTCCACACTGTTGCCCAGCTCACGCGGTTCCTAAGCCCGCCTGTCCAGCCTGCACAGGTGCGGACACACCATGGTTCCAGCTCACCTCTGGACCTCCGTGCTGCTGCCATCTCAGCAGCGCACCCCCTTTTTGCCAGGCTGACTCGTTCCTGAGCTCAGCTCACACATCACCTGTCCATACCCCTTTCCCACTGGCTGAAGAGGGAATATCCAGGGTAATGACCTCTCTGTTCCTTTAAGCCTGCCCTCACACTTCTGTCTCTCCCGTCAGGCTGATTGTCCTTTACAGGGGGGCTACCTTGCCTCTGAACTACAGTTCTGTGCCTTTTTCAGTAGATGTTTTTCAAACAAGTAAGGTCACTTCCCTCAGAAGCTTCTCTCTTGAGCTCAGAGGTCTGACTCATGGTTTCTCTGTGCCTGTATTCCTTCCTTTAAAATCAGAGAAATAAGAATTTTCCTATCTATGGCCAAAGTTGCAAATGTATTCCAAAGATCACAGGGTGGGAAAATGTCAACTGAATTATGAGCATATGCTATTTCCTTCATAAACATCTGATCTTATATACTGTTCCTAGTGAACACCTGGGTTGACTCCCATCTTCTAGTTCACTCCCAAATTAAAGAGAAAGAATCTCTTTATTTGCATTTATTCATGCAGGCTGTATTTTCCTACGTGCTTATTCAGGGCGCTGGAAATGACCCCCTTAGGGGCCGCGTCATGTGCAGCAGGACGCACAGGCCCTCTCATGCACCGCCGTTTGCATTTCTGTTACATGTGTTTCATTCAGTTTTGTTTTGTTTTGTTTTGTTTTTATTTGCAAGGTAAAGGAAAAGGTGCCCAAACTGGTTTAAATAAAAAGTGAAGTTTTAGTGGGGATGTGACTGAAACGTTCGTAAGTCATACAGCTTCGGGTGAGGTTTGATCAAGGACTTCACTTTGTAACCATGGACCTGACGCTTCCTCGTCTGTCTGTTTTGCCAGCCTGGGTGTCAGCTTTATCCTCAGGCTCCACACACTCTGCACAGGGCTGCCCCAGACCAGCCTCACATGACATCACACGGGGCAGGGGGCCCGACGTCATGCTGCCCGGGGGATCCACTCTCCCTGCAGGCCTTCTGTGCAGGGCCTGGACTTCCTCTGACCAGCCCAGATAGATCCACACGGCTATTCACGACCAGTCCCTGTAGCAGGGCGGTGCTGGTCAGCTTGGTGTTCTCGGGTGCCAGTCTACATAACTGTGACATGATGAGGAAAAGTGCTTATTTTTTGATATTTAAGATATTTCATGATATCTTAAAGAGAAATCAGGAGCAGTTAGAGAGCAGACAGGACGGAAGGGTGTCCACTAGAATTTCTAATCTAATTTTCATCTATGAACACACAACTTTGATTCTTAATAAAAAGATACATAAAATTTACGTCTTAGGTTCAATTTGTTTCCATCCCATGTGACCAAATGCTAATTTGGACTTCTTTCTAGTCCTACTTTTTTGATGTATAATGACAGTAATTACATGGTTAATATCTTAAACAGTCATGTAAAAACAAATATAATTTCCAGTTAACTGGTGAAGTACTCTGAATAAAAGTCCTTAAAAGTGTACTGCCTTTGAAACAAAGTCTCATTACCCTAGTTTCATTGTGGTTAATTACAGATCACATTGTGAATGGTTAACGATAACGTATTCATCCATAATTAGGATTAAAAAGGAGTACAGTCCCATTCCTATCAAATCAATAAGTAATCTGTACCAATTATATGACCTTCAGAAAAGCACTCCCTTTTTCAACTATTCTTTGCTTTAGGTTCCTCGTCTGTGAAATGGGGTTTATTAACCTACCAGATGAGGCTACCTGAGGGTGAATGAGTCCATGTGTAAAAGGAACTTAGCAGCCTAAATTTGATTTTTGAGTGATAGCCTTTATGGAGCACTGTCAAATTCAATTTCACATAAAAATTCATAGCATTGTGACTAGTTTCCATATTCTGGTTTTTTAATTCTCTTTGAGTCTGAAATCTTTAACAAGTTTGAATCCCCCACTATTCCACCCACAGCGCAGCCAAAGGGGAAAACACTGCTTTGCTGTTTTGATGTTCTTTACATTTATTTTGGCTTTTATGTTAAAAAATCACCTGTTTCTTCAGGAAAGAAAAAAGTGAAGGAGTATGAATGAGGCCCGTGAATTAGTACCACCTCCCAGCGGGATTGCTTGTGTGAAATGCTTGATGAATTCTCGATAGAAAGCCCTTTTTCCTCAACCTTAGATTGCCTGAGACCGTCAGCCCCCTCCGCACCCCACCCACAGTATTCAGAGGCCGAGAGGCCCAGATGCCCAGAGGCCTGCCGAGCAGGAAGCCCAGACACTGAGCACGAAAGATAGCACGTGCTTTCCTCCCCATCAAAGTGTTTTTCTTTTTAAAAAATAATTTTGTAAAAGCTACTATTTTTTAAATGTACGATTATATGTAAAATGTAATGATATATGTATCTCGAGTTTTTAAGAAGCATTTATTATAAAACCCCACTGCCGCTTTCTTGAGTCACCAGTCCCCTGCTCCTGCCAAAGCCTGCTTTACATCTGTATTTAAACACAGGTAAGGGAGAGGCAGACCCGAGTGTCCCTGTGTTTTCCTCTCCAGCTTTACCACCAGCCCCCCTCTGGGGGCGTCATGGGATCCAAGTGTACAGATGAGGACGAGCTGATCTTCAGTCTCTTGCAGCTTCCGCCCGGGGAGCAGCTTGGGCATCATGGCTGGGGTGTAGCTGGTGTCGCTGACTGTCAGAGGGAGATGCAGGGGCCGGAGAACCTAGCCGGTCATGCGCATGGGCCTGGCAAGATCACGTAGTACCACAGGCAGCCCGCTCTGGACTTAAACACAGCTCCTTCCCTCTCTCCCAGCTGCACCTCACAGGGTGTCAGTTTGCAACTTCATCATTCTTCAGCCTCATGTTTATTTTGTTGAATGTTTAAAGTCACTGTGCTTGGCAATTTACTCGCTGCAGAGCCCCATGGAGCTGCCCTGTCACGCACACACACATGCACACGTGTGGCGGCTTTATTACCGTCTGAGCATTTTGAATTTATAGGGTTTAGAGTGAAGGGGTTCTTCACGTGACCCCCATTTCATAGGTGAGAGACCGGGGCTGAGAGCTTGAGGATTTCCTCAGTTGACAGAAAGTGGAGCGCTATCTGTATTTTCATGTTTTACCTGGATTGAGATTGTTTCATGCAGATCTGGATCTAAAGTGAATTGCCCTCTCCGTTTGTCAGGGCGAGAGGGGAGAAATGTCACACTGAGTACCGCTGGGCCCCTCTGTCCCAGGACAGTGCAGGCGAACTCAGCCCGTGACAGGCAGTGGGGGACTCGGTGGTTTGGTGCGCCATTAGGTTCCACTGCAAAAGCCACCCAGATGTAGGGAGCTTGCACCCGTACTACAGTCGATGGGCGCATCGGACTTGGAGAGGGTGTTTCATGGGGCAGAAATGAGGCCTGGGAAGGCAGGTGACCCCTCTGGGGACACAGCCATTGCTCGGGACGCCCCACTTTACCCTAGAGCTCTTTGTGGGGCAGTCTCCATGGAGCAAAGACATTCCATCAAAAGAAACAAGAAATCTTGAACATGGGGTGAATGGGAAGATATTTTCTGTCCAGCTGATAAAACAGTACAGTAGGTCACTAATCTATAAAAACAATGTATTAATTACAGCCATATATTTAGAGAAGAGAGGGCTGCCATGATCTTAGAGTTTTTGTCTTTTAAAATCAGTAATTCCACTTATGAATTCTCTTTCTTTTTTAATGTCCTATCTATTTTAGCTGAATGTGGAGCCAGTGTCAAAGGAAATGAAGGAACATTGCTGTCTCCAAATTTCCCTTCAAATTATGATAATAATCACGAGTGTATCTACAAGATAGAAACAGAGGCTGGCAAGGGGATCCATCTCCGAGCACGCAGCTTCCAGCTCTTGGAGGGGGACATCTTGAAGGTAAGAAAAATCTCCTCTGATATGACCCCGTCTGTTCTTCTCACAGAATGAATTAAGTATCCATCTGTGTACATAGAAAAGTATAAACATACACATATGTTAATACATGTTTAGAATACACAGTGTTTCCAGTTTATGTCCACTTGGTTAAGATGGGAGGCACTATCACTTAGCATGGAATTTGAAATATTTTATTCTGTATTCCTGGATCTAACCTTTTTTCATTGTGTATCTCGGGAAAACTTTATAACATTTTTAAGCCTTAACTTTTTTACATGTAAAACACTCAATGATACACTTTTGGGCTGTTTCAAAGATTAAATAATGTATTATAGGTGGATGTTTCTGGCACTGTGCCTCACAGATAATTGTAATTATTGAAATAGGCAGGGCTGTCCCCAAAACAACCCACTCTATAGTTAATCTCAGTTTTTAACTGTAGCTACCACACTTGGAGCTAGAAGGGTTCTGAGGTGACAGCAGGAAAGAGCCCAGCCATGGTCACCAGACCGTAGAGCAGGGCCCACATGGGGGAGCCGCAGCAGGATGGGGCCGAGTCCCACTGGACGGGCCTAAGCTGCGTCCACAGAGCTCAGGGCCATGCCGGGCGGGGGGGTGGGGGGGTGGCAGGGCTTCTGTGCGTGAGGTGGTGCCAAGTCCCAGGGCCTCAGGCAAGGCGCTCGGCCTTAGGAGCCGGCATGCCACCTGCACCCTGGGTGGACTCCAGGAAAAGGAGGCAGGGGAAATGGGATTCAGGGCACCAGGCCTTGCCCTGTTCTATGAAACCCCATTTCCAGTGGGAAATGCCCATGATTCCGAAGGCTTCCATGTAATTCACACCTCTCCTGGAACTCTTTTGGAAATCTGGGGCCTTCCAGGCTCTGGGGGCAGGGGCGGGAAGGAGAGGCTTTGACCATCAAAGACGTGTGTGGGACGCTGCGCAGCCCACCGGCCGACCCTTCCGGGGAGGAGGAGGAGGTGATCTGTCCAGGTCTGGGCTCATTTCTGGCATGGAGGTCGCATGTCCCTTCCCCTTCCCTTTCTAAAGTGGGGTTTTTTACAGTTATGTTCGCATCTGCATGGACACACGGTGATACGTCTTGGACACAGTGGGTTCCTCTGGCTTTCAGCTTTGAGCACTGGGTGCCTGTGCAGAGCCAGCTGACGGGGGGATGCAGGCAGCCTCCCACGCACCGTCCACGTGCACCAGGTTTGCAGTGCGGCTCCTGGGGATCCACTTGACTCTCCCAGACGCTGGTGTGCCGATCAGGAAACGCCAGTGGACGGCAGTGCCCTGCGTCCTCCTAGTCTACGTCTGAGGTTTCAGTGTCATCGCCGAGAAGAGCAGGGTTATTCTAGCTGCTCCCGTACCTGTCTTTTGGAAACTCATGCTGGTGGCATGAAGCACTCTAATTAAGAAGTGATTTTCTGAACAGGAAATGAGTGCGCTCTCACTGATGTAAAAAAAAAGTAAAGTTGCATTATAAGTAACCATTTTCTGACTTCTTTGATAACCTCAAATTTAGAAGTCAGTAAGCCTGTAAGGCAGACTTCTAAGTAACAATTAACTCTACTTTGTGCAGGTGAGTGATTAGAGATGGTGCATAAAATAGACCCTGATAAATATTATGGGAATGGAAGGAAGCAAATCATGCTCATTTGTGATTGCATGCAGTTTGAACTTGTTCATTACCACAAAAAGCAAAAAATCTTGCTTACCACATTTAATTTAATTGCAGAGAAACTGTCAGTCATCTGAGATGCCTAAATGTTTTGCTGGCATATGTTTTATTGAGTATGCTAATAAGTATCTCAGTGTTAAAAAGATCTCAGGTGGACGTATCTTAATCTTTGAGCACAAATGATATTCACATCACTCCTTCATACAGAATATGATCCAATAACAGAGACCGGAGTTTCATATATACATGTTCCCACAGACATCAGCATGGTATTTTCTTGCTTCGTATGGAAGAATCACATAAGGAAATGAATAGGTAATAGGAAGTGAAGTTAATCTGGAGACGGAACCCCGAGCACAGGGTTCCCCTGAGCGCTGAGCACTGCTTCTCCAGGACTGCGCATGATGCTTCCCAGTCTGTGGTCATCTGCTGGCTGGGAGCTGGCACTGTGAGCCAGTGGTACTGATTAAATGCCTCAGCCGAGGAGGGCTTGCAGGGCAGATGGCTCAAGCCTCGTGTCAGCATGTGACTCAGGGAGTCTTCTTCCAGCACTGAAGGAGCACTTTGGGTCCAGCTGCTTATAGAGGAGGAATCACACCTCAGAGATGTTGTGCTCAACTGAAATAGCTCATTATTAATTTAATAGGAATTAAAATCAATTCTTCAGACTCCCAGTATTTCGAGCTTGTCAGCTGGGATACATGTAAAGCTTGAGTCCAGATTTTCACCTTTAGGAAGCTCTCACGCCGACACGTGGCATTGCCCATCTCTTTCTGGGGTCTCCATGTCAGCACAGTGCTGACTGCCAGCAACATGGCAGGTTAAGACAGTGACTGTGCTGGCTGAGCTGACTCCGTGCTGCAATGGCTCATCATGAGGGGCTGTGGCCGTGAGGGCGCTGGTGCCAGCTGCTGCCCATCTGACGTGTGACATCTCTGTGACGCTCCCGCCTAGACGGGGCCTAGGCAGGCAACTGCAGACGGTGCTCCAAACCGTGAAGAGTGAGCTGAATGGTGTGTCCGCTTGCTCTCACGTCCCATCATCCCCACGGATTTCTGTGCACTACAGAGAAGTGCATGGTGGATGGAGTGACCCAAGACCTTTTGGGGAAGGCCTGGACATTTTTGTTTTGAGCCAGATTCCTCTGGACTTAACACTCTTCATCCTCTGGGTGTCAGAACCTCACTATATGTAAGGAATCCCTATAGTCAGGCAGACAATGATTTTTCCCATTGCTGGCTTCTGGCAAGGATGTGTAGGGCCTTTGATTCTACTAGTCTGGCTTCTTCAATTGAAATAAAACAATGACCCATAAAATGAGCTGTTTTACATGTATATCCCGGTGTAGTTGTCTAGCAAGGTATGAGGTTTATATATTCAGTATAAGAGAGTTGAGAGAAGAAAAGTAAGACGACCTGTGAGAAGGAACAGGAGTGGTGGAAACACCCAGATGCCAGCAGAGGCTGAGGACCTCAGTGACCTTTATTAAGATACTTGTTTTATGGAGAAAAACTGGGTGTTCTCTGTACTGTATATAGAACAATACATTTGTATTCCTTCTTCCAAATAAAGCCTTATCCATGCCAGGTTCCATGCCGTGAAGTGGCGCAGTGGCTCAGAGGGGTGCACCGGTCAAGCCCTCCCGCTGTGCATTCCACTCTCGGCAGTTTATGTGGCCGGGGAGGGCAGGGCTGACTCGTGCTGGGATGGGAAAACTGTTTATTCTGGCATCTGTAGGGCACCCCGCAGTGCTCTGACACACAGTCCCCACTCCGAAAATGTGACTGGCACCCATCCATGCCCAGGGTGAAACCCCTGCCCGGCCCTCGCCCCTGATGGTCTGCTGCAAGCCACGCCCCTTGTGCTCACCTTCCAAGCTCACGCTTTACACCCACCTTGGAAGACCGTGGCAGATACAAAGATGCTACATCTCTGCTATTGTTACATGGTGGGGGTCTTCATTCCAAGAAAGGCAAGACTACTCACCTCGGGCTCAAAGGCTAAACCGAGAGCAGTTCCTGCCCCTTGTTCTGTCCCGTAATACATTCAGAGAGGAGAGAATGGAGGTGTCCTGTTCCTTAAACGGTAGTTAAGGCAAGACTGAAATACGATACATCTCACAGTGTTTATAGGCAGGTTCTGCCTGGAAATGTAAATAAATTCTTAATTTTAAAAAAACGTTGAAAGGACTCTCAAAGGAATGAATGTAAATTGATTTGAGCACAAGTGCAATCTTTGTCTTAATGTTAATGGGAAAGCTAAAACTTTACCATTAAACATTGCATAGCAGAGTCATCCATTCGAATTTCTAAAAACTGTATAACTTTTTAAAGTACTGTATAAAATCACATCTTCAAAGATTTGGATTCCTTGTTAACAATTGCTAATATAAAAACATGTATTGATGGGGGCCTCATCCTGTGGACTCTCCCTAGGTATACGATGGGAAGGATAGCTCGTCACGCCCACTGGGGGCCTTCACTGAGAACGAGATGCTGGGGCTGCTTCTCAACAGCACGTCTAACCACCTGTGGCTGGAATTTAACACCAATGGGTCTGACACTGACCAGGGCTTTCAGCTCACCTATACTAGTAAGTAGCACATGACAGTCATATCACTGTATTTTTTGTTTTCTCATGATATGCCTGTTACTTATCTGATAGGATAAATTGTAAGTTTGCGGGGCCTCTCTACTGTATTTGGGGTTGCTATTTAATTTTGTACTGCACGGCTGGCCAGGCAGTGAATTTGGACATGTTACTAGAAGCAACATTTTGAAGTGTATCTGTTTAGAAGTATCAATATTTTAATTATAAAATGGCTGAACCTGAAAAGAAAATATCATGACATTTAAGAGCATGTGGGCTTAAAAATATTTACTGTGATAGAGTGCACACTCACAAAAATTCATAGACTTACGTACATATGAAAGATGTAGAATGAATGTTCGATGTGTTTCATAAGTCTCTGAATGCTTACCACATGTTGATACTTTCCTATTATAATCATACACATTTATATACTAGATTCTATGTATTGTAGAATATGCATTACATGTATGTAAAATAATCATTCCTGCCTGCAGATTCACAATGTGTATGTGTCTGCACAGCGACCCTGTGTAGTAGGCCTGCTCTTGCTGACACTGATCCCCGATGGGAAAACTGCACACAGATGATCCGAGTATTTGTCTCTGTCACCAGGGGTCTGGCATGGTGGAGCCGGGGCCGGTCATTGCTCAGCCCTAAGCAGCGTTTCATAGTGCCCCCTCATTGATCTGAGTCAATACAGAAAATACCTTTAAATATGAATATGGAGACAGAGGAGGATAAAAAGGTAAAGGGGGAGAAGAAACAGCGCTTTCAAAAAGAGAATTTTGCAACATGGTAACTTCCATTTTCAGCATTTTTAGTTCCAAAAAAAAAACACAAGTAAAAAAATGTAGCTATTTTGTGCAGATAACTAATTAAAATTCAGCAGTCATCCAACTAAACTGCTTAAAATATACAAGACAGCCAATCCTTTACCAATCTGGGGCTCGGTCTTTGTGACAGCACCTGTGATGAATGGGAGGTGAAAAGTTCTGGATCTTTGAGTACGGACATTTGCTAGTGACCATCAAGACTGACTGATTCATTTCACAGTAAGGTAGGGAAGACCTACAAAGATGCTAATTATCCCAGAAAACAGAGCCAATCCAGGTACTGAAAAGGAAGGTTAGTTACCTCAGATCCCCCTTGGTGGGCAGAATTACAGTTGAAGAATGATAAGACTGGACAAAAATAGAATTAGCTACTGACATCATAAGAAAACCAATTTTTCACTCTCATGAAAATAGCCATATTGGAGACTCAGTAAACAGAAGGCATATTAGTCATACTGCATGTAAAATACATGCGCAGCGATTGGCATTATAGAATCAGTGAGTTTATCGTAATGGGGAAGTTCTGTGAACAGCCGTTGTTCCTATACTTCTTCATGCCTCACTGGCCTGGGAACCTCACCTCTGCTGGGCGTGGCTGGGACCCGAAGCCTGGCGGTCCCCTCGGTGAGACCCCACGCTGCATCCTAGAAGACATGCCATGCTGTGCGCATTCATGTCTCATGACTTTCTTGACCCTAGTCGCTCTCTCCTGCTCTGCCCGCCGCCAGAGGGCCTCTCGATGTGCAAGCACTTGTTCTGTTGGCCCTTGGCCGTGACAGGACAGAGACAAACGCCTTCTGGAGTTTGGGTTCCTGGATTCATCCTGAAGGAGGTTGTGAATTTGTTTCCAGCGTCTGACTTCGCCTGATTTTCCCAGTGGCAGTTGAGGAGTCCGTATGCTCTGAGCACAGGAGCCTGGGTGAAACCAGAGGCTGTGTGGTGTGCGCTGTGCCCACCTTCCCTCATCAGCGGCGCTTGGCCAGGCACCATGTGCTGCTGTACCGCCGTGTGTCTCCAGTGTCCACACGAACTTTAGGACCTGTCACTGTGCCTCCCATTTCTTCGAGTAACTTTGGGAAAGCTTGAACCTGTGAACCTATTTGCAGGCACATTCCAATCATACAGACATTTTTTTTTAACCTTCTAAAAACAATAGAAAGAAATCTTGGCAGTGTTTGTATTTAGCACTCAGTTTAGTCGATTTTGCTGGACAAATGATCTCTTCTGCTTCTATGAAACTGCAGACACTCGCTGGGTGCAAGTCTTGCTTATGAGAGTGCCTGAGAGCTGTGACACACTGAGGTGGGGGATGGCATTTGTGATACACAGCTGGCGGTTCTAACGGCCATGTGATCAAAATATTATTAACTTCGCATTAAACTCTTGGGTTTAAACACTTAAGTAATTAAATTTAAGAAATCCCAAGCTTCCACAGTGTGAACAAATACCTGAATCAAATATTCATTCCTAAAAGATGGCTTAGAAATAATGAATGGTTATAAAACGTCCTGAGCAAATTAATAAAGCCTAAGACTAAAGACACTTTTAACTTTTATGTCCCCAAACCTCTTACATTTTGTTTCTACAACTTTTGTTCTCAACAATAAAAGGTGAGGTTCTCAAGAGGAGGGATCTTAAGTTGGTCAGCTTTCTACTCCCTCCCAAGCCACTTAGGAAAGGACAGTTCACAGAGCCGCCCTGGAGTCTGCACAGGGGAGGACAGGCGGGGTGCAGGTGTGGGGAGGGTGCCCTCTGAGCCCATGAGGCGAGGAGTCGGAACGTGAACAGAGGCGGGGGTGCAGGAGGAGGGGGAGCAGCCAGGCTAAGTCAGCGGTGGGAATCCGGTTCCGGAAGCCTTCCCAAGCTAGGAGAGGGGTCCGTCACCATCGAGGTGGAGCCATCCGTGGTTTTGAGGAGTGAAAGGAAATAGGAGTCTGGGAGCTGAGGAATGGCATCCTGGCAGTCGCATAAACACCAGTTCTTAGAGAATTCCAGTGCCTGCAGAAAGCCTTCCCGTGCCACCGGGGGGTAATGAGCATAGGGGAGGAGGGCTTCCTGGTGACTTCCAGCCTCCTTGAATGGGGCACTGCAGAGACAAGTAGGCCCTGCCACTCACGTTGAGCATGACATCCCCTTTTCGAGACCCAGCAAGGAGGAATGCCTGCGTGGGCTGCCATGGGAGAACAGACAGACCTTAAAGGGAGCTTTTGGGGGCCGCCCAGGATGCATCTGGCAAAGCAGCCAAGCAAACGGATGCTTTAGTCCGTCCAGTCCCACAGGGAAAGCGGTGCTGCGTGGAGGCGAACCCCCCTTGAGTACGCGGCCCTGGTCACCCAGCTCCCTTGCTCTGACTCCGGGCCTCCCGGCCGTGTGCTCATTTCAACGGAGGCGGTAGCGTGGCTCCCCCCAGAAGAGCAGTGGCTTATGTGTGCCGCATGGGGCCTGACACCATTCATTACTCAAATTAGGAAGTTGGCATCCTGGCATTACAGTTAATAAGTTCTGGCCCAACAGTTAAATCACACTTCTCTGTTCTTAAGTTCCGGCTTATAGTTAAGTTCCACTGAGATGAACCTTGACTGGGGGACACTGACAGAACCCACATTTGTTTGGAGGTAGAGAGACAGGGATGCTCAGGGGCCTGCCCTTCCCCTGCCCCTGACCAAACCTCTCAAGGCTGCCTGCACTCCGCTCCCCCTGTCCTTCCCACGCAGCCCTTGCCCCCACCCAGAGGGAAGCCGCCAGGCCCCTCTGTGCTGTGTCCGAAGCGGAAAGTGCTCCTCTGCAGCTGGCCGCTCGCAGCCACCTTGATGGAGACCCTTCCTCGCGGTTTGGTGGAGTCACAGAAGTGACTGATGCTGGGGGCGCTGCAGCACGTCCCCTGGAGGAGAACGTCCAAGCCCGGAGCCGTGGCCGGGGCAGCTGGCAGCTGTGTGAGCAAGCTGAGAGGATTAGAAAGACGCCGACCCTAAATGCACTGTTGTAACTGAGGGGGCGCGCTGGGCGTGAACTTATTCTCTAGGCCAGGGAGGAAACCCCAGGGTTGTCTCCTTGAGCTCCCAGGTGAGGAAGAGACACTGCAAGCTCAGAGAGCGCACACAGTCCGTGAGCATCCGTTCCCGTAAACAAGTCGGGAGGAGGAGAAGAGGGCCGGGTGGAAGCTGCCGGAGGGGTCCTTGGGATCACCGACTGGTAATGAGAACTAATGCTCTGCAGGACTGGATGAAGTCCTGATGAGGAGGGTGTACTTGCCCTGGGCGTCCCCACCCCCCGTCCCAGTCATCGGGAGTCACTCTGCCTGTCCCTTGGCTGTCCTCCCCCAGCTTTATTGCGATAGAATCGGTATGCAGTGTTTTTAAGCTTCAGGTGTACACGGTGATGGCCTAACACTTGTATATGTTGCAGAATTGTTAAAGCACGGTTTTTATACAGCCATCACCTCGTGTAACGTGTGTGTGGTCAGGTCTGCCTGCTTCTAAGCAAGAACTGTTGGTGCCTTCACCTCTCTGATGGTGAATGGGATGTAAATTCACATGACATGTTCATTTCATACCTGATCCCTCCCCACCTTTTTTCTGACAACTACAGTTTGGAAATGCTATACAAGCTGAGTGGAAGTTCGCAAGGTCAAGTTCTAGGCTCTAATTCTGTATGTAATAATTACATCCACAGAGTCCCCAAACATGTCTGCAAGCATTACTGTTTTAAAGTAAAGTCAGCCCTGTGATTCCAAGAGTATTTGCCACGTTCTCCCTCTTTAAAGTGTGCGATATTCTAGAAGAGCGTGTCGAGGGAACGTTTCATTCCATAGGAGGTTTTAAAAGTTATTTACAGTTAAGCTGTAAAGTTTAGGGAGATATGGAATGAAGTCAAGAAAATAGCCAGCTTGCAACATGCATCCACACTGACCCTGGCAGACTTTATTTCAATGAGGATTAAAATGGTGGCAAATGTTACAGGCCACTTTGGTGTCTCCTCATGTGATAGAGTATCGGGGGCATTTTGTAAATAAGCGTTTACAGAGCAAGACTTTGTTCTCAAATAGGCATTATTTCAGCAGATAAAACTGCTGGAAAAGTAATTCTTACTTGCTCTCTAATTTTTTGCTAACAAATAATTACTTGCTTTTCCCATAGTTAGCTCCTAGGTAATTTTAATAAAGGTGTT